GACTACATGAGGGTGGCCATCTTGTGTGTTGAGGTGATGGTCAACTTGCATATTACCCCTTTATTAGATAGGACATCTATACTTATAATAGGGTAATATAAAAATTGGTCTGGGATGCTGTCACATAATGACTGAACAGCAGGAGGGTGGGGCAACAAGCTACAAGTGGTGGAGAGCTACAGGAGGGTGGGCAGTGGACAGAGAGCTACAGGATGGCAGGGCAGCGAGCTACCTGTAGAGGAGAGCTACAAGCAGCAGTGGGCAGGGCCAGCAGCTGAGGCAAGTGGCAGTGAGCTACTTGTGCATGGATTCGTGCGCAGGGTCACTAGTTTTATAGAATTGTCAAATATTTGATTTCAAAACCATTTGCTAAACCACATATAATTATCAATTTATCTGGTAGCTATTCTACCTCATTCTTTTACATTCTAGATTTTTTAAAAGTGTTTTTAGCAGTAACCCTAATCAGTGTGTAATTGGGGAAATAAAGAAATCCTCTTCTGGTATTTTACCTTTCATCAAATAATAGGTACCAAAATGTTCAAATAATGTTTTAGACAAATCATACTTATTAACTTCCCCTTTTTTTGTAAACATTTTTATCCTGTTAACTTAATTGGGGAGATTTGTATTGCTTATATATACAGAAAGGGTAGTTAGAACATAAAACTTTGATTTTGGTGTATATGAACAGGGGATAATGGTTGAATTTCCTAGGTTTATATGAATTTAAGGAGTGTATGTTATATTAAAACATCTGCTAATAGAGAGATGGTGCTGAAATCTATTATTACCTAGGCATTTTCTAGCTATTTAGCTTATGTCATAAGTTAAACCTTCATATAAGGAAGGCAAAATTTGTTGACTGCTAACCTCACTTAAATAATGTTACTAGATATGCAGTATATAGAAATTATTAATGTTTTGGTGTGTAGGAAAGGATGAAAACTAGGTTAAAATAAGAGCCAAATTAACATGTACTGAAAGGGCACTTTTGTTTTCTGTTTAAACTTTATCTTCTTAAGGTTTCTTCGGGAAGAAAACTTGGCATTTGGGGGCAGTCATTTCTTCCAATGTAATGCCAAAATGAATTTAATTAATACCAGCCCTAGACTGTACTCAGCAGCAGGACTTTTCTAATTGGGTTTTACTCTTTGTCTTCTAAAGTACAAGCAGCATTTGACCTATTTCCAATGCTCTTGGCATTTTATTAAAAGAACCACTAAAAAACTATGTATAATTTAATTATTCTTTTTTGTTTTGCTTCATAAATACTTAAGACTGTCTTTTGAAGATTGTTCCTACCTCATTAGCTACTCAAGATTCTATGATGATCAACCTATTCCAAATAATGTTTTTGAGAAAAAAAAAAGAGAGAGACTTGAAAGTAAAAAAATATATATATATATACATCTTGGGCCTTGGCTACTGAGGAGAAAAGAAAAAAAAATGAGAATCAAATGTTCCTGACATGGGCATTTTAGAAAAGTACTATAAAAGTTTGAAATATTCAAAAAGTTCTGGCTAGCCGTGGCTGGTGTGGCTCAGTTGGTTGGGCGCCATCCTGTGTGCCATGTTGCTGGTTTGATTCCTGGTCAGGGCAGTTGCCCAGGTTGTGTGCAAAATTCCCAGTAGGGGGTGTGCAAGAGGCAGCCAATGGATGTTGCGCTCTCACATTGATGTTTCTATCACTTCCCCCCTCTCCCTTCCTCTCTCTCTCCAAAAAATAAACTATTATTTAATTTTTTAAAAAAATTACAAGTACCAGCTATTATTTAGGAATCTCTCCTGATATTCTTTGCTATTCAGTTTTTATGGAAATTAATTCAGTGAAACACTCAAAACTTTTTAGTGTTTCTTAGTGGTGTTTTTCCAGATAAATTCTAGGGGTAAATATTTCCAGCCACAGTATGTAATTCTGTAACTGTGGAATATCTGTATGCTTTGTTTGGTATATCTCCCATGGAGATATCAATGAATACACTACTCCATCTGTGAACATTTTAAATGCTGAAATAAATTAAAAAAAGAAATGTACCCAAAAAAAGAACTTATCTACTTGTTAACAGAGTGGGTTGTAGAGCCCAACTGCTGGGGTTCAAATCCTGGCTGCCCTGCCATTTTAAAGTTATGAGCCCTTGGGGCCAGTTACTTAACCTATCTGAGCTTTTTCCCTCACCTGTAAATGAGACTTAGAATCCCTACCTTGCAGAATTACATGCTGATTTCTAATGCAAATGCTCAGCAGGTTGACTGATAATCAGTAAAAAGCATTCAATAAACTTTAAGCATGTATTTTATCTCCAACACCGGAGATAGTATATCAACTACCATGCAAGCCACAGGACACTGTTGTCACTCCCCAAGGGTATGGGTGTTGGCTTTATAATCAGACAGATTTAGGATTGATCAGCTCTACCTTTCTGGCTGAGTGATTACCAATCTCCACAAACCTCAGTGTCATCCTCGGTAAAAATGAGTAACCACACCTTGTAAAGGTTTGAAGTGATGCTTATAAAGTACCTGACATATAGGATGTGCAAACTTTACAGTTATTATAACACTAGAGGCCTAATGCATGAAATTTGTGCAAGAGTAGGCCTTCCTTCCCTCGGCTGCTGGCACTGGCTTCTCTCTGGCACTTGGGACCCTCACAGCCCCACCTTTGTCCAGTAGGTCATCTGATTTAATTAACATATTATACTTTTATTACTACTAGAGACCCCGTAAGCAAAATTCATGCATGGGGGGGGTCCCCCTCAGTCCAGCCTGCACCCTCTCTAATCTAGGACATCCTTCTCACAATCTGGGACCACTGGCTCCTAACTGCTCACTTGCCTGCCTGGTCACCCCAAACTTCCCCCTTCCCTGCCAACCTGGTTGCCCCTCACTGCCCCCCTCTGCTGATCTGGTCGCCTCATGCAGCCTGCTGCTCAGTAGTTTGGTTGCCCTTCATTAATGCCACTGCCAGCCTGGTTGTCCCAATAGCCTGTTCAGTCATCTGTTCTGTTGTTCAAATGCTATGGTCAGTTAGCCTTTTATATAGAGATAATTGGGGAAATTATCAGGCACTGGAATTGGATTGGTGGGGAGACCAAGGACAAAATAACCTTTCTGGACCCTGCTTCAACAAACCAGACCTGGGGAAAGGGGGGAGGGCAATGAAAGTTACACAGGGAATTGACCTGATAAAACGTGACTGTATGCCTCCAGGCTTTTGCTTCTTGACAATTGCTACTGTTTTATTAGTCCCAAACCTCCAGCTCTTGCCAAAATGAGTGACTCCTCAGTATGAGAATGAAAGGGTCTACAGATATTGTACTGCAGCCCCCCTCTCCTGCCTGATAAAAGGGCTCAGAAGGGCCATAATGTACACAATCTCATGGCCATAACTTATGCACGCACAGGCACCTTGGCTAAGATTCAGGTCTTCAGATTCTATTCTAGTGTTCCTTACATCATTCCATACCACACTCTGTGGTTGTCAGGAATTAGAGAGAGCCTTTAAAAGGCTTCCCAGTGTTCATACATAAGTGGAAGAAATGTGCTTATCCTCAGAATCCCCAGGGGAGAGGACACCAAGAAAATATCCAGAGAGGAAGGGAAACTGGAGGCAACCAATGTGTCCCCTAACAGGTTCAAGTGCACCAGCCCAGGGCAGGCGAGGGAAATCTAGATCATGTCCATCACTTCACAGCTATAAACAAGGTGCTTTGATTGCATTTCAAGTTGTGAGCACACCAGGGGATATCCTAGTTCAACAGCTCCAACAGAAAGACCAACAGAATGGAATGCCAAGTAGAGAATAACTGCTATCATTCTCATAAGCACCAGACCTCAAAGAGTGAGGATAAACAGGACCTTACATTATAAATACAATAACTAGTGGAGTAGAACATGTTTCAAGATTGAAAACAACCTTTATAGGCAGATCAGAACACTGGTCTCACCACACATAGTAAATGATGTCATCAAGATATGAGTATATATTGCCGAAGCCGGTTTGGCTCAGTGGTAGAGCGTCGGTCTGCGGACTGAAAGGTCCCGGGTTCGATTCCGGTCAAGGGCATGTACGTTGGTTGCGGGCACATCCCCGGTTGGGGGTGTACAGGAGGCAGCTGGTCAATGTTTCGCTCTCATCGACGTTTCTAGTTCTCTCTCTCCCTTCCTCTCTGTAAAAAAATCAATAAAATATATTTTAAAAAAAAGATATGAGTATATAACAGTATAATCACTGCCTGAACACACTCAGACATAAAAATCAAGTGTGTTTTCCTCATCCATGGCAAGTATTTTAAAAATATATTTTATTGATTTTTTACAGAAAGGAAGAGAGAGGGATAAAGAGTTAGAAACATCAATGAGAGAGAATCATCAATCAGCTGCCTCTTGCACCACCCCCACCGGGGATGTGCCCGCAACCAAGATACATGCCCTTGACTGGAATCGAACCTGAGACCCTTAAGTCTGCAGGCTGATGTTCTATCAACTGAGCCAAACCGGTCTCGGCCATGGCAAGTATTAAAGATGAGCTTTATAAGGGCCAAGAGAGGAGGAATGGGAAATGACTGTATAAGGGTCCAGGGTTTCTTTGTAGGGTGATAAAAATGTTCTGGAACTAGATGGTGGTGATGGCTGCACAACACTGAAAGTACTAAGTGCCATTATAAATAGTGACTTACGTGAATTTCACCACAGTAAAAAGAAAGGTACTTTAATCACTGGCTTCAAGTATAAGTCAGACCATCACGGGGAAGAGTAACACAGGAAAGAGTAACAAGCATTGGAATAGGTGCAGGAAGAACAGGGTTTTGAAATTCACATCTTAATGTCCCACAGGGGGGACTCTGCCAAATCCCTGATTAGCTGGAGAGAAGCATCAGGGAATTTGCTTACTGAACTTACTGGTTGCCTGTGGTCATGGCTTGGTTAACAACTGGTGTCACATCACCTCTATACTTCCACTAGTACATTTTGTGTTATTATAATGAAAAGAGAACTTGGCTTTATCTGCAAAGTTTATTTCACAGAGCACATATTTATATGAAGATACAACAATGGGTTTCAATATGTAACATTCGTGCGGAAAAATATCAGAAATATTCTTAGGATGATTGTCTGCCTCCTATACAAAAGAACTAGCATTTGAAAATAGTTTTAAAATCTAAGGCATCAAGCTCTAATCTGTAACAAAAGGTATAGTACTCTGAATAGCAAAGAACTAAGAAACAAGAAAGAATAATTACAATACTTCCTTTACTACTCCAAGACTGGTGACTAGAAAGAAACATGGACATGTTTCAAACTTTGTGATTTGCCAGAAAACTCACTAGCATTAGAACAATAAAATTCCATTCAAGTTTTAGTCAATAGTTTTTTGTTGTTTCTTTTTTAATCCTCACCTGAAGATATTTTTTCCATTGCTTAAGAGAGGGAGGGAGAGATTAAGAAACATTGATGTGAGAGAGATACATTGACTGGTTGCCTCCTGCAGGTGACCCGACCAGGGACAGGGTGCGAACTTGCAACCCAGGTACATGCCCTTGACCCAGAATTGAATCTGCGACCCCTCTGGTGCTCGGGCTGAAGCCCTAACCACTAAGCAACCAGCCAGGGCAAGTATTAGTAAATTCTTTTAATGAGGACTCAGTGCATTTCAGCAAATATACATCTTGTGTGTGTGTGCATGCATGTGTGCCTATCTATCACAAGGACTAAAGAATAACACTGTTCCCGTACTCACTTGCAGCCACTGGTTAGAGAAAGGCAAGGAGATTTTGGTTCCATATCCCAAGCCTGGGTATATACTGAAGGGCAGGACTGGAGGGTGTAAACAGAAAAAGATTATATACACAGTAAACATTTAGAGGAATTAAATATACCCCACCAGACAACAGCCAAATACTGCTTTATGTATACAATAAAAACAACACATGTTTTTGTAGATAAACCTTAGTACAATATGTACTCCAAAAGGAAATACTGCTAAGAGCACAAAATATCCTATTATAATTGTTCTTCTAGGACTCCTAGCATTTGGGGGCATCACTGCTTGTGTACTCAGCTGGCATGATTAAACATAGACATATATAATGGTAACATATACTTTACTCTATTTTCCAACCTTTGGTATTGGTATATTAGAAATAATCCAACATAGCACTTGGGGGCAATCTTGAGTCCTTCACATAACCTATCATGTTCTCTACAAGATCAAACTGGATTTCTTAATTGTTAAACAGAACAAACATTATTTTAAGATTTCAAACATGTACTGAGAGAATATTATTCTTTCAGTAGAAATTATTTTAGAAGTACAAGAGTTACAAGTTTATAAACACAGCCTCAATGCACACTCAAACGTGTGTTGGTAGGAAAACACAATGAGATACAATGGAGATTTTTACAGGAACACAACTTTTTATTAAAAACCCCTCCTTGTGGACTTCAAGATTATACGAGTGAGCGAGCATCTTCTGAAACGTGTTAAGATGACTTTTTGATGTTTTCCCGTTTTTTTAGATTGTTATTTTCTTTGCTTGGTTCAAGTCGAAGGTGGAGCAATTTTGGGAGATGGGCCTAGAAGTTGAAACCCAGAGTGGAGGATAAATTCTCTTCTAGGCTGCACGAGGTTTACATGTCTGACCAGAGGAAAAAGAAAAGAGGATTAGTAAAGAAGATGCTGGTCTCACAGCAACTGGGCCCTGGCTTTCCTTCCTTTAGGATGGGTCCAGTACCCTCAGCAGCCCTCTTGGAGTTGCTGACATACTGGTACTTTTATAAATGCTCTCAGCATCCATAACACCGAAACAAGCCCATGCTGTCTCTCAACTTCAAAGAGAGCTTCTCAAGGAAAGAAAAACAAAGGCCTTGCCTGTGGACTGAAAGGTCCCAGGTTCGATTCCGCTCAAGGGCATGTACCTTGGTTGTGGGCACATCCCCAGTAGGGGGTGTACAAGAGGCAGCTGATGGATGATTCTCTCTCATCAATGCTTCTAATTCTCTATCCCTCTCTCTTCCTCTCTGTAAAAAATCAATAATATATATATTAAAAAATAAAAATAAATAAAAAGAACCAGCTGTTGGTTAAAAAAAAAAAAAAAAAAAAGAAAGAAAGAAAAGCAAAAACAAATGTTTTTTGGTTTTGGAAACACCGGTTGAGAGGCAAATTCCATAGACCTCACAAACACTCTGCCCTAAATGATCATCTGTGTGCTGTAAAGCAGCCAGTGCTTTACAGAAAAGAACCTACTTTGTATTATCTGGCAGGAAATGCAGGGCGTTAAACTAAAATCAAGTTACTGAAGTTACTCTAAAAACTAATTCAATGGAAGAGTCTTCAGCATCAATGTAGCTTTTAGACCCACCCTGTCTTCTCCCTCACCTCCTAAAGTGGCCCTGAAACAGCAAGAAGCAAGATTTTTCAAGGTCAGTGGTTTTGGAAACAAAATAAAGATCGGATTAAAAATAAAAACCTTACCTGATCAAGCAGAATCAGATTTTTCTATTTTTGTCTGGGGACTTCGGTAGAATGTTGTGAAACCTTTCAGATGGTGTTTTTGGCTATCAGGAAGGTTACTAGAAATGAGTGGATCAATCTTGTGAGTGCTATCTAGTATCTGGTCACACGCACATTCCTGTGACACTGGATGTAAACTTTCTGATGATACCATGGGGTTGCTGGTTTCAACTATCTTTTCGGTTTTTGTTACTTGGTTGGTCATTCTTTGGATAGACAGCCTGGAAAGAGATGTTTTGGTTAGAATGTTGATTATCCTCCAAGCTAGAGCTTCATCCTGAAAGCAGGTTTATATTTTAACAAACTTTTAAGAAATTCCTTGGAAGTAAGTGAACTTTCAGAATGAAAAAATGGGAAGGCTGGTAGGGGCCCTGGATATCTCAGAACACACTGGTTTCTCAAGCTGTGTCCTGCAAAGTCCTAGGTTCCATGGGCATGCTAATGGACTGGGAGAAGTTAAATGTGAAGGGTACAGGAACCCTGTCCCTACTTAAAGCTGATCCATGACATGGCTAGTAAGGTTAAGTAAGGACTAACGTGGATTTTCTAGCTCCAGTGCTCTTTCCAAACCATCAGTGTGTCTCTTAGCAGAGTGTTTCCATGGGTCTTGTAGGTTAATGTCTTTCAAGTAATCGCCCAAAGATCCTTCCTTTCTAGACTCTGACCTAATCTGTGACCCTCAGTTTCCCTATATGTAAAATGAGGTCATTAATATCAAACTCAGAAGTGCAGTGATAATTAAAATAGGTTATGTAAAATAACTGGCATACAGCAGACACTCAATCAATGACCCCTTCCCTGATTTTATGAGACAACATTAACCAGTATGAACAAAAGCACAGTTTGGAGTCAGATGTATCTGGGTGGGAATTTGGGCTCTGCCCTGTAACAGTGGGATGTTCTAATTATGGGCAAATAAGACCCATAATCTCTCCATAATCGCTTTTAATTTTCCTGATTTGTAAAGATGGGAATGCTAACACTACCTAACAAGACTACTGTGAATTAGTTTGTTTCTGTAAAACAAGTGCTTAAAATAGTGTTTGGTTCAAGTTAAGAGCTCAGTCAATAATCTCATGTATCATTTTAAGAATGCCACTCATAATAACACCAAGTTTATTCTGAAAAGCTCACCAAGTGACTAACCTGATACCCTTGGCCTGAGCCAAAGGGTCTTTCACTTTTTGTCTGACGTTTTTTATGTCACTTTTTAAAGATGATCTTGTCTTTGTATAGACTTTGTCAGAATTGACTTCTAAAGACAGCAGCCTGGGGGCGCTCTTCACATTTCTAAAACTTTTCTTGAGTTTTCTGGATGAATTCATGCCATTTGTAAAGGCTAGAAAAAAAGGATTAAGATTAAAACTGGAGCTTCAACAACAAAGATAAGAAGAACAAAGTCTGTGATGTTGATGGGCTGAGGGAGGGACCATCTGTCTGATGGCAGGAAAAATCATGGGAGTACCCTGGAGAAGCAGGCCCAGCAACCACCAAACTACTCTACTTTTCTCAAACATGGTCTAGGCTGCTGCCCAGCACACCTGCCCCAACTTTCTTTAGAGCATAAAGGGGCCACCTTTAAGGAACTTGCTCTTTCTCCTTTGGCAGGAAACAAAGCCAGGCCAGAGGATAGGACTGAGCCATGCTTCTTACCCCTCCTCCTGATTACCCACCTACCCAATTCTGCCTTCACTTCTTATTTCAGTCTCACTTCCAATGCCACCTCCTACCCTTTCCAGTGCCCTAAGGCAGACCCTATACCTACCTTGCTCCTACTGCTGTGTTCTCATTGCATTTTGCCAAACTTCTTTTAATGCAACCAGCTTGTGGTGGAATCATTATTTGCTCATATGTCTACCTCCCCATTGGCTATGGTTCCTCAAGGCTAAGGGCCCTGCTCTTCACATCTGTATCCCTGTACCTAGTAGGCCTGACTTCTGGGATAAAGGGTGGACAAAGTGTTTTTTCAGATGCCATTTACTGTTGCCATAAAATGGTTCCTACTCATAAGGGAACCAATAATACATTTTAGAAGGCACTCATAATCATGACATGATTTTAATTTTTCTCAATGAATTAGAAGTAGTATTCCATCTGGGGTCAATCACAGATGCCAGAGGAGGCCCTGAGTTATGAAATGTTAGTAAGCCTCATGTTCAGCTGAAAAAGAGCTGCCATCTACAGTCTTTTAGCATAACCTGTAAAATAACAACAGCTGCTACAGCAACAGTTAATATTTATTGAGAGTTTACTATGTGTCAGGTATTATTCTCTTAGCATTACACAGATTATCTCATTGTAATCTCATAACCACCCTAGAAGGACAATAGCTTCTCTTTTTCAGACAGGAAAACTGAGCATACAGAGAGGTTAAGTAACTTGCACTTAGCCACACAGCTCAGAAGCAGAGGAGTACCTGGATAGACCTATGCAGACTACCTCTTAAATAGTGACTAACAAAACTCAAAAGGTGCCCAGCGGTGTAGCTCAGTAGCTGAGTGACCACCCATGAACAAGGAGGTCATGCCCGGGTTGTGGGCTCAATCCCTAGCAGGGGGTGTGCAGGATGCAGCCAATTGATGTTTCTCTCTCATCAATGTTTCTCTCTCTCTCTCTCTCTCTCTCTCTCATCAATAAAAACACACACACACACACACACACACACACACACACACACATATATATATATATATATATATATATATATATATGTATATATATGTATACGTATATAAACAACTGCCATTGTGGCTTAGTGGTTGATGGTCAACCTATGGTCACAGTTTGATCCCTGGTCAGGGCACATGCCTGGGTTGTGGGCTCAATCCCCAGTGTGAGCGTGTGCAAGAAACATCTTTGATGTTTCTCTCTCTCCTCCCTTTTTCTCTGAAATGAATAAAAATACTAAAAAAATAACAACTCAAAAGCAACCAAACCTAATGGATGCAAGTCATCAGGAGAATTTGCATCATCACTTTCAGGCTCATCCTCATCATCTGCCTCATGATCCTCGTATGTGTCACTGCTGGATATTTGTAAATCCTATGATGAAAAAAGAAACTTATGGTTATATCTAAATATTCAATCATGCTGACATAATTGCTTCAAAGAAGACAGATTTCAAGGCTGGAATGATGGCTAATTTTCATCATTTCAAAGTAAGATTTTAAAAATCTTAACTCTATGGTTCCAAGAATCTACAGGAAATAAGACAGATGGCCCTAGTTTTGTCTTTAAGTTAGGGGAGGACACTCAAGAATGAAAGACTTCCCTGAGTGGGAACCAACGAACAAGAGCTTTGGGTTAGCATGCCGTCTCTTCCTGCTCCGAGTCTGAACTAAGCCAAGGTGGGGGAAACAGATGAGGAGCTCAAAAAGTTCTTGGCTGGTGCTGGAGGCAAATTTCTCAGACCAATGGACTAAATGATCTTTCAGATAGTGACCCCCAGAATTTTTTGAAGATAATATTTCTATTCTAAATGTTCATAATTATATCAACTGGTCAACTGTAAACAGACAAAACATTGCTTTTATAGCACAGAGGATAAACAGCATAGAATCTGGAGGAAAAAGGCCTTGCATGCATGTGATCCATCAAAAGACAGGACTCTGAGGTAGGCAAATACTTATGAGACAGACTCCCAAAGCAGTAACCATACATGAAGAAACTGGTAAAATTGAGTTCATTCCAAAGAACTTCTGTTCATCACAGGATATTATGAGAGTGGAAAGCAAACTATACCATTGGGGCTGATATTTGCAATACATATATTCAAAGGGCTCATAACCAAAGTCGGTAAAAACTCCTACAATCAAAAGGCAGGCAACCCAATAAAAACATAGGCAAAGGACTTGAAAAGGCACTTCTCGCTCTGGCTAATGTGGCTCAGATGGTTGGAGCATCATCTGATATATCAAAGAATCACAGGAGATTGGGGCAGGTACAGGGAGCAGCGGATCAATGTTTATCTCTCACATCAATCTCTCTCTAGAAATATCAATAAAAAAATAAAAAGGCACTTCACAAAATCAAATATCCAAATGGCCAGTAAGTATATTAAATGCATTAGTCATAAAAATATTGATAAATTCAACAATGTAAAAATGAAGACAACTTTAACAAAAGACAGTCATAAAGTGGGAGAAGTTATCTGTAATACATACAACCAAGAAAGAAGTAGAATCTAGAACATTTACAGAACTATAAATTAATAAGAAAAAGATAAATTAGCCCCAAAGATCTGAGCAACAGACCTAAATGAGCATTTTCACACAAGAAAAAAAAACACATGAAAGACCTAAGAAATATGCTAAACCTTTTTATTATCAAGGAAAATGCAATGTGACACTATTTCCTGCAGAGATGATCAATGATTCTTTCTCATCACTGATGTTTCTATCTCTCTCCATCTCCCTTCCTCTCTCATAAATCAATAAAAAACATTAAAAAAAATAATGCGAAGCAACAGGAATTTGTATATACTGCCAGTAGGAGCACGAAGACTACCTTTGAGGTGTCCAAATTGGTCTTTCTTGTCCGCTTCATAATTTCCTCAATTCTCTATTTAAAGGAAAATAAAATTTCAAACATGAAAACAAATTAAATGCAAAAGAGTGGTGATTACTCCCATTTTCCAGAAATGGATAATATCAGTGACTGCTCCAAAGCCACACACTTAACTGACACAAGACATTGGGTGGGAGTTTATTCCTTCCTCCAGTCCTGGTCTCAGTCGCCTTTGAGTGGTGATAACTGTACTTGTTTTGGTAACACAGAAATCCAAATGATTCCTCACTCCTAATTGTGCAGACTTTGAAATGCATTACTTGAACTAAGCACATACCACTGCAAACCAATTAGAACTTTTACCGGTAAACATAATTGTAGTCTGAACAGACCATGAATGAGGCCGAAGTTAATGACAAGAATGTACCCCAATGATGAGACACTGTCGGAGCTTTTGTTACTAGAAAGAGAACACACGTAGGAGAGCAAGAATTCTTTACCCAGGATACACTTCTTTCCCTGTAAGTGAGGAGAGATGCAGCTCTTTGGCCTCCTCAAGGGGATGGATCTGACAGAGGCCTTGCAGCACCTCAGCCAGGACTGGAGCCCTTCCTTGCTCTCAGATGAGGCACATGAGTTACACAAAATGAGCTCCTACTATACAAAAAGCCTGCACCTTGGCCTTTCAGACATCTGCACTTTCTAGCCCAGGTTAGAAGAAAACCTTATTTCCACCAACCCCTACCATGACCTGACTAATTCTGTTCAAAGGAGCTTTGCTGCAATGGCCACCACCAGTCAATGACGGATAGGTACAGTCAATCAAAGGAGACCCTTCTAGGCAGGAGAGGTCAGATCCTTGGCTAAGGAAGAAAAGAGTAGAATGGAAAAACAACCATTGTCACTAATTTGTGACTTTCATATCATGTGTTCAACATTGTCTTAAACAAAGAATCAAACCCCCAACACACACACACACACACACACACACACACACACACAGAGAGAGAGAGAGAGAGAGAGAGAGAGAGAGAGATTACCTTTTTTCTTTCTAATCTTTCTTGTAAATTCTGTAACATAATTTTTTCCTGCTCCTTCTTACGTTTGTCGGCTTCCTCCTTAGCTTTTATTTTGGCGTCCCCTTTCTAGGAAATTTATATAAAAATGTTTCATGTTAATATATGTAAATCACATCAGGCAACACTAGTTTAAAAAGTTAAATGTTATCCAGCTAAAATAATGTCACCTTTTGATTGAGAGTACCTATAATATATACGGAATGGCCATTTTTAAAACATTAGCTAAAATGTACAAAACTAGGTTATTATCTTGAGGATTTAGAAGACATGTGTTACTCCGCTCAGGACCTCAGGTCTCTCATTAATAGTGGTTCTCAATCCACTATAATTTCAAAGTATGTAACTGTGTAGCTATTAATATTAACATAGCAACAGGAATCATTTCTTATATTTCTCAAAAGCATCAGGAGGATTCTTAAAGTTACCTTTTCCAGTAGTACAAATGCATATAATCATTTATGTGACATCTAACTGATTTTGATGAATGATAACACTAAAAGTGGAATGTAAACTAGGTTATTGAAAATCAGTGAGTTTGGGGAATTATTTATCTGGTAATTCGAATTTACATGGGTGAGACATTCTTATTGATAAATTTGATGACTTTAAATTTTTAGAGGTATTTGTAATTTTTATCTTATCTGTTGGGAGGATGTGGAGTGCAGTTGTGTGTGTCACCACAGAATGCAGGATTGGGAATATTCACATAGGATGTTTAACCTGTGTGAATGGCTTGAATTCCTGAAACCAAGCTGCTATATTGTTTATGTAGACAAACCAAAGAGCTGTTCCTCTATAATTTGCTACTCTCTTGTTTCCTTTGGTAAACATTCTTGCATTTTGTCAAAGGTGGCTGAGAATGACTTGTAGCAATATGAAATGTTAGCTAGACTGTAATGTAAAAATGCATCCAGAGAAGGTGGCTTCTTTGGAGAAGCAGGTTTTTGCTTTGGGTTTCAACTGAATTTTATAATCTAGTTCTCATTCCCTGATAAAGTGCAGACTCAGCAAACCTGTAATAACTCTCGCTGGTTTTCCTGATCTTGAAGTCCTTCCTTCTTTTTTATTTCCTTTTGTTGCTGTCCATGGTCAAATTTTGAGAACCTTTCTTGGCCTTCAAATGCTTTCTTTGTCACTTTTTTCTCTTTCCTGATAACACAAATATTTAAGTAACTCTTAGTATTTATCTTGATCTCTACCATACATGGCTTGCAGTAGGTACAATTTACATTTATACCAGATTCACTACATTTTATGTATTGTTACTCCACAAGATATGCACAATTTCACCCTTTTAAAATAGAGAAAACTAGCCCTTGGGAGTAAGAACTATCAAGTGGCGGGCTAGTTTGCATCTTAAAATATGGGGAGGGGGGGGAAGAAGGGATAATATCACTCCTTATACATGGGATTCTCCACTTATACATGCTCATACCCAATATCACATGGGAATGTGATTGGGATAATTTAGAGGGTCTGGTGGTGCCGAGAGGAAGAAAACTCAATCAACAAAGACCAGTGCTGAGTGCTTTTAAAATGTTAAATCAGCCTTGGCAAATTTAGCTAAGTTGGTGGGGCATCATTCTGTGCACTAAAAAGTTATCTGTTTGGATTCCAAGTCAGGACATACACCCAGATTTCACGCTCAATCCCCAGTAGGGCATGTGCAAGAGGCAGCCAATCAATGTTTTACTCTCACATCAGCGTTTCTATCTCTTTCTTCCTCTCTCTAAAAAAAATCAATTAAAAGTCATTTAAAAGCCCTGGACAGTTTGGCTCAGTGGACAGAGCATCCGTCTGTGGACTGAAAGGTCCCAGGTTCAATTCCAGTCAAGAGCATGTGTCCTGGTTGGGGCACACGTGGGAGGCAACCAATTGGTGTATTTCTCTCATATCAAAGTTTATCTCTGTCCCTTCCACTCTCTCTAAAAATCAATGTAAAAGCTATCCTCTGGTAAAGATTAACAACAAAAAAAAAATTAAACTAAATTGGGCCCTAGCTGGTTTGGCTCAGTGGATAAAGCATCGGCCTGTGGACTGAAGGATCCTGGGTTCGATTCTGGTCAAGGTACATGCCTGGGTTTCTGGCTCGATCCCCAGTGTGTGTGGGGGGGGGGGGGGCAGAGCATGCAAGAGGTAGCCGATTGATGATTCTCTCTCATTATTGATGTTTCTATCTCTCTCACCTTTTCCTCTCTGAAATATATATATAAAACTGTACATAAAATCTACTGACCACAGGAAATTCTTTCAGCAATGACTAATAAAATGCAGGTGTCCCAAAAGTCACTGGAAAGCACCCTTAGTAAAACACAAAAAAGTATATTTTCTAGGTTTACAAATTCTATAGTTTTAAAACCTTTGAAAAAGATAGGGGCTGACATCAGCGAATGCCAACAGAAACTTCTGAAATCTGGAATCTTCACATGACTTTTATTCTCTCTTTTAAAAAAAAATGTATTTTATTGATTTTACAGAGAAGGGAGAGGGAGTGAAAGATAGAAACACCAATGATGAGAGAGAATCCTTGATCGGCTGCCTCCTGTACGTCCCACATTGGGGACTGAACCAGAACTTGGGCATGTGCCAGGAATTGAACTGTGACCTCCAGGTTCATAGGTCACTGCTCAGCAACTGAGCCACGCTGGCTGGATGAGATTTGGTCTCTTTATACATCTCCATAGCACACCTTCAAGGTTCATGATGCATGAAAGCAAAAGAGGCCTATACTATTCATCTACACACCAGTGTCCTCTCTCTGCTTGACATTTTCCCACACTCATTTCTGATTCATGTTGAAGAAAAAGTCAATCACTCTTTGAGAATTTATAATACATTTAACTTGATAAGTTTTGACTTTCAAACTTTAGGCCCAGGCAAGATGTATAGCATAGAAAGGATGATATTGTACTTACCTTTGGTCCATTTCTTTTTGTAGTTTTTCTTCTTTTTCTTTGTGTTCACGAGCAAGGCGTCGTTTTGCTGTCAAAATTTTTGTTGCCTCCTCAGCATTCATAATCCCTTGCGTGCTTTTATTACCAGACTCTACTTTAGATTAATATGTGAAACAGTTAGTTTAGGGAACTTACTGCCTCTCATTCCAATACAGAGATGCAAGATAACCAATAGTATAAAAAACGAACAATATGTACATGGTCTAAAATGTATAAAAAGCAATCTATAAGTGACTATAAAACAGATTTTGTTCAACATCTCAACTCCCCCAATAACAGAGGTAGCCTTTTTGTTTCTTTTTAACAAGTACTTGTTCGAAAACGAAATAATAAGCTGCTCCCTCCTACTTTGGTTTAGCTGTTTTAAAATAACTAAGTTGATCCTATGGGAAAAAAGCTTTATACTTAATACAGACGTAAACAAGCTTCTATTCAATCTAAATGAAGTATACAATTATTAAATACTTGACTAAAAAAAAAATATATCCAGCATACATTTTAAAATTTGTTCATCTGCCGAAACTGGTGTGGCTCAGTGGATAGAGCGTCGGCCTGTGGACTGAAAGGTCCCAGGTTCGATTCTGGTCAAGGGCATGTGCCTTGGTTGCAGGCACATCACTGGTAGGGTGTGTGCAAGAGGCAGCTAATTGATGTTTCTCTCTCATCGATGTTTCTAACTATCTCTCTCTCTTCCTCTCTGTAAAAAATCAATAAAAAATATATTAAAAATAAAAAAATAATAAAATTTGTTCATCATTTTCACTAAATAATTACTGTGTAGCTAACTATTGATACTAGTGTTACAATAGTTGGTTGGTTAATCATAAACTGGTTAACTAAAGATAACCAAAGAAACCAAGACTATCAGTAACATAAGGTGACTGTATGAAGGCTTATGATAATATTTTAGTTCATGTGCCTAATTTCTTTATTTTAAATAAGCAACATATGAAAATGAGGGTCATAAGACATCTAAAACAAATAATTTATAATAAAAAGATTACTCCTATTATAAATAATTCACTGTGGAATTCCTTCATAAAGCAAAATTCCCCAGTCTATTTAAAAGTAAGCAATATCCTTGAATATTAAGAACACATGTGACAGGTAAGAATACCAATTTGGTACTTTTAGGAACCCAACTACATGCCAGATTCCTTGTAGTCTATGCACAGTAACTGACCTACAGCTTCTAACAGAAACTCATTCAGCCATTCATAGAACCATCCACTACCAGAGCTGGAAGGGACTGCAGGTATTACCTATATCAGTGGTCGGCAAACTCATTAGTCAACAGAGCCAAATATCAACAGTACAATGATTGAAATTTCTTTTGAGAGCCAATTTTTTTTAAAATTTAAACTTCTTCAAATGCCACTTCTTCAAACTAGATTCACCGAGGCCTTGGTATTTTGTGGAAGAGCCATACTCAAGGGGCCAAAGAGCCACATGTGGCTCGCGATCCACAATTTGCCGACCACGGACCTAGACCAATACACTCATCCAAGAAGTACTTTTAACACCAGTTCTAAAAATGGATTTTCCAAAACAATTAAAGGGTGGGTAAAGTAGCTCTCACAAGGAAAAGTAAGGAGCAGTGATTGGCAAAATTTTCTTTAACTAAAAGAAAGCTCGCTCCTTAAAGTTCTCTGAATTGGGAAATAAAATAGAGCTGACCATTCCCAAACTTTATTGCCAAAATATAAACTCAGTGAAGGAACTTACCGTCATAAGTCATATGCTTTTGGGTCACAGCCTCAGAGCTTTTAGTGGTTTTTTTAGAAGCCTTTTTCTTTTTCCTTCTGATATTACCTACTATATTTTGTGTACGTGGGGTATGTTGAGCAGGAATTATTTTAGAGGAAACAGAAGATTGTGCTGATTGTTTTGACAAAAATGGTGAAATGGATGGCGGGCAATTCTTTTGTATTTGCCTACTGAGAAAAAGCAACAGTTAATGGGGGAAGTATGATATGATTTTGTAATTAACATCTGCTATAAATTATTAGTGTACAATTTCATAAAATATATTATGAGATCATGATATTTTATAATAGATGAAGGTAAGCCCTTTATCTATTAAAGGTTTTTCTAAAATTTTACATTACCGCGTATACATTACTTCAATTATGAAACACTGATGTAAAATTTATTCTGGTAAAACACATATCAGGAACGGTTTCAGATAGCTACTTACTTAGCACTTATGGGAGAGGGTGAATCCCACACGTTTGTAGAAGATGGCCATTTAGACAATGGTGAATGTGTCGATGTGCGCTTCTTATTTACAAGGTTTGATTTCTGAACAGATCAATACAATCAGATAAGAAATTATTAGCAATAACTTTCTTCAGCTGGTTTCTCTTTTTAAGAGAAAAATATTCTGAAGAATACACAGTGATAGCTCCATAAATGCCCAATTTTCCTGACATGCATAAGAACTAGTTATAGAGATAAGTTCTTCCAAAATAACAATATTACACACAATTCAAGAAAGACATAGAAATAATTAATTTAAAAGAAATATTGTACTTCAAAACCCAATTCTATTTCTAAATACTAGTTAAATTTACCCTATTTTATTAATTTTATTGCTCAATGTTATAAATAAGTTGTTTTTATTGGGAAACCTGACCTATCAAATCATCTATATAATTAAAAAAAAACAGGTTTTTGCCTAAACCGGTTTGGCTCAATGGATAGAGCATCGGTCTGCAGGCTGAAGGGTCCCAGGTTCGATTCTGATCAAGGGCATGTACATTGGTTGCAGGCACATCCCTGGTGGGGGGTGTGCAAGAGGCAGCTGGTCAATGTTTCTAGTTCTCTATTCCTCTCCCTTCCTCTCTGTAAAAAATCAATAAAACATATATTTTAAAAAACAACCAGAAGGTACTTGACAAACCTGGGGAGTGTCTCTCAAGTTCACCTCAGGGCATGACTTGGACTCAGGGGATGATTCCACACTGGCCTTAGGGGGCACTTCCATGTTCTCTTCAAGGACTGTTTCTAAGCTTTCCTCGGGAATCATTTCCATGTTCCCCTTGTGGAACACGTCCATGCGAGCCTCGGATGTTGTTTCCATGCTCACTTCTGGGTATGAGTCCAAGCTCGCTTCAGAGGACGAGTCCATGCTCACCTCAGGAGATGGATCCACACTCATGAGGGACATGTCCTCGCTTCCCTCAGGTGATGCCTCCAAGCTCTCAAGAAGTGGCTCCACACTCATCTCGGGGAATGCTCCCATGATCACTTCGGGAGCTGCTTCCGTGCTCACCTTGAGTGGTGCTTCCACACTCAACTCAGGGGGTGCTTCCAGGCTCACCTTGAGGGGTGTTTCTACTTTCTCTTGAAGAGGTACTGCCACTGTTGATTTGCAAAGTACCATGGTATTCTTCAATTCATCACTGCTATGGCTAAGCAAGGGCATGTCTATAGACTGTACTACAGGGCTGTGGATGCCTATGGGTGAATGAGGAGAGGAAATGAAATTCCAGTTAGAAATCCTACAAGATAGAAATGTACCACCAAACAGTATAAGAACCGGAAAAGAGAAGAGACTGTGTTTATTAGGAAGTGACAAGGATTACACATAACACAGAAGTGTTCAGTGAAATGAACCACAGGACAGAAGCATGGCAAAACTGGTACACTTTATAAGCCCCACTACCAATAGAATCACTGTGAAAGCAATAATCTGTTACAAGTAAATATAAGATGCTTCTCCAAAGTTGATGTTTGCAATGGCCATTTCCATTTTAATCACACTCTAGTTCAGAATGATTTTCATAGAAAATTATAAGATTTTCAACACTTCTTAAAAGTAATCTGAATAATTTCACCAGGGCCAGAGAACTCACTGTTACAGGTGATTATGTAAGACATACATGATTGTTTTAGAATAGAATGAAAAAAAGAGCATTTTTTCTGTCCCATACTAAAAAATTGCACACTTGCAACAACATGGATGGATCCTGAGTATCATGCTAAGCAGAATAAGTCAGACAGAAAAAAACAAAAACCATATGCTTTCACTTATATGTGGGATATAAAACAAAATGCAACAAATGAATAAACATACAAACCAAAAAACTCACTGACACGGACAACATGCAAAAGAAAAAACTCACTGACACGGACAACATGCAAACGAAAAAACTCACTGACACGGACAACCAGAGGGGAAGGGAAGTTAAAGCGGGCAAAGGGGATCAAATATATGGTGACCAAAGGAGATTACAGATGATGTTTTATAGAATTGTATATTTAAAACTTATTAACCAATGTCACCCCAATAAATTTAATCTTTAAAAACTAATAATATGTTAATCAGAATGGGCTGGACCTCTAAGGTCTCTTCCAGTTTTCTCCTCCCCCCTCTTTTGTTTATCTTTTTTTTGATCTTCCAATTTTACCAATCTATTTTTTTGCCTAATAAATGGACAAAAATGATAATACTTGTTAGCAATTTTGGGAATGGGGCCACTTCATAAACTGCTGGTGGGAATATGGATTTGCATATGTTCCATGGAGGGCATTTTGGCAATAACATATCAAAAGCCATTTTTAAAAGTACACATTCTTTGCTCTAGCAAGTTCACTTCTAGGCTTATCCTTAGGGAAAAAATCAAGTAAATGAAAATGCATTTATAAGGTTATTTATAGTAGCATTTGTTATAATGCTGAAACTACTGAAAATATAATCCAAATATTCAACAGCAAATTTGGACTATACTAAGATAGTCATTAAGGGTAATAATATGCTATTTTTGGACATAAAAACAATATATATTAAGTTTAAACAAAAACAAGTTATGCCCTGGACAATGTGGCTCATTTTGTTGGAACATCGTCTTGTGGACTGAAGGGTCGCAGGTTCTATTCCTGGATAGAGCACATGCTCAGGTTGTGGTGCATACGGGAGGTGACTGATGCTTTCCCCCTCTCCCTTCCTCTCTCTCTCTCTCTCAAAAAAAAATAAATAAATAAAGCAGCTTATAATCCCATTTTGTGGAGGAAAAACATAAACACAAAGAAAAACATGCAGTAAACATTAAAAAAAAAGATATTTGATGATAAATTTGTCATATTATCTTTAAATATGGGCAGAACATTTTAATATGATATTTCCAAATAATTAAAAATAGAACAATTGAGGGAGACAAAATGGCTGAAGAATAGATGGGCGGATTCTGAGCCCTGTCCCAAAGCAGAAAGAGAGAGCAGCTGACGGTCTTGTGCTGTGAGTGTTTATCAGCAAGCTGGGAGACAGCGAACACCAGGGGCCGCTGACAGGAGTACCCCTCACAGGGAAGCACCCACAAGGGCCTAGGGGGCCGCTGACAGGAGTACCCCTCACAGGGAAGCACCCACAAGGGGCTACATCCCTTCAAGGAGCTACCTACAGGCTTGGACTGGGAAACCTCGCCATCTTGAGAGGAAGATTGGATCGTGTCAGAGGCCTGAATATCCACAGCCACATTGACCACCAAGCAGCTGTGACCTCCAGAACGCTGATCCCAGGTGGCGCAAACACTTGGGCTCACAGGAGTGCCCCACAGCACGGCGAAAAGGTCAGATTTCGTGGCAAGAGGGTGAGTGAGCGCTCCCGGGAAAGACAAAGACCAGCGCGCACAGAGTGTGCGGAAACTGTAGGTCAGGGGCGGTGATTACAAGTAGAAGCCCCGGCTGTTGGGCGGGTGTCACCTGTGAAAGTGGACGGGGCTCCTAACAGGGGAGATATTTAAAGAGCAACACATTTGGATCTGGCTTGGAGGGATATCGGAGAGTTGCAGGAGATTGCAGTTGGCTCGGACTTGCCCCCTCCCCCCCTCCATAGATCCTGCCGCAGAGAGAGGGGAAAAAAGCTGGAGAGGCTTTAGAGCCTGGGAAGTCAACCTAGAAATACTGCCACCCAGAGGCTAATTCACAAATTGACTCTACTGTAATAAAAACAAAGCAAAACCTGCTTAAAAATCAGGACAGGATCAATAGAGGAAGCGAATGACCTTCATTACTGCAAATTTTATTTAAATTAAAAAAAAATTTTTTTTTGATTTTTTAATTTCTGTTTTTTATTTTTGTTTTCATTATTTTCAAGGTTTACTCAAAAAACTATTTTTTTCTTCTTTTTCCTCACTGATTTTATCTTTATAATTATTACATTGTATATGTAATCAACATTAAAAATTACTACTACCATTTTAACTTTTTAATCTTATTTTCTTTTGTTTATTTTCATTTATTTTTTTTTCATTTCAGGATTACTGTTCTACAGTCTTTATCTATCTTTCCTTCTCCAAAGCTTTATTCTATCTCAACCCCACTTTTATGCCTTCACTCTCTTTCCAACCTTTTCCTTTGGTAGCCTGTTTATCTTAACCCTTTCTTGCTCTAGATTTCCCCCATTCGTTCTGTTTACCCCTTCCTAAAATTTCACCCTACTTGTATATATCTAATTTCCAACCCCCTGCTCCAAGCCCATTCACACCTCCCTCGCTGCTGTCCTAAAAACAAAAAAACAAAACAACAACAACAACAAAAAACAGTCTTTCTATCTCTTTGAAGTTGTATGTTGAATGTTAACTATACTGAAGTTGTATGCTTTTTTTAAATAAGATTGATTTGCCTATTTTTGTTTGATTGTATGTTTTTGTTAGGTGGGTTCTAGTCACCTTTATTGGTGGTTATTAATATCGCAAACACATTTCTATTAAGTGCCTTGTGTGTTGTACCTGGTTGTGTTGTATTTTGTGCCTTTAAATCAAAGCAGGAGAGAGAGAACTACACAACCAGACATCCTAAAAAGAGAGAGATCATGGGGAGACAAAGAAAAAGCCCGCATATGAAAGAAAAGCAGGCTTCACCAGAAAAGGAAGTAAACGAGATAGAGGCAAGCAACCTACCAGAGCAAGAATTCAGAGTAATGATCATAAGATGGCTAAAAAGAATGGAAGACAAATTTGACAATATGAGTAAGAACCAAGAGGAAATGAAGAAGAACCAAGAAGAAATGAAAACTGACATCGCTACTGTAAAGAACTCAATAGAAAGCATCAAGAGTAGACTAGAAGAAGCAGAGGACCGCATCAGTGAGCTAGAAGACAAGATGGAAAAAAATACCCAATTAGAGCAGCTTCTGGAAAAAAAATTAAAAAGCAGGAGGAAAGTCTAAGGGAACTTTGGGACCATACAAATCAAAACAACATTAGAATAATAGGGGTTCCAGAAGGAAAGGAAACTGAGGAATACATGGAAACGTATTTCAAGAAATAATGACAGAAAACTTTCCTGAGATAGAGAAGAAAAAAACCACACAAATCCAAGATGCTCGCAGAGTCCCAAGCAAAATGAACCCCAGAAGACCGACCCCAAGGCACATTATAATTAAACTGGCAAACACCACCAACAACAAAAGAATTTTAAAAGCAGCTAGAGAGAGACAGAAAGTTACATATAAAAGAACCCCCATCAGACTAGCAACTGATTTCTCCACAGAAACTTATCAGGCCAGAAGGGGATGGGATTAAATATACAAAGTCATGCAAAGGAAGGGTCTGAATCCAAGAATACTGTACCCAGCAAGGCTATCAATCAAAATTGAAGGGGAAATCAGGAGCTTCACAGAGAAAAACAGACTAAGGGAATTTATCTCCACCAAACCGGCAATGCAAGAAATGCTAAAGGGTCTACTGTAAAATTAAAGAAATAGAAAGCAAAGAAGGAACACAGGGGTATAAAATAAAAATGACATCAAATAAGTACCTGTCAATAATAACTTTAAATGTAAATGGACTAAATGCTCCAATCAAAAGACATAGGGTAACGGATTGGATAAGAAAACAAGACCCATATATCTTTTGTCTACAAGAAACCCACTTCAGAAAAAAAGATGCACACAGACTGAGGTTGAAAGGATGGAAAAAGGTTTTCCAGGCAAATGGAAATGAAAAAAAAAGCTGGGGTAGTAATACTTACATCTGACAAATTAGATCTCAGAGTGAAGGACATAACAAGAGATAATGAAGGCCACTTCATAATACTAAAGGGAGCAATCCAACAAGAAGAAATAACCCTGGTAAATATATAAGCACCCAATATGGGAGCACCCAAATACATAAAAAAAACTACTGGAGGACATTAAGGGAGAGATTAATAGCAATACAATCATAGTAGGAGATTTTAATACCCAACTGTCACCCTTGAATAAATCATCTAAACAAAAAATCAGCAAAGAAATATCAATCCTAAATGACTCGCTAGACCAGATGGAATTAATCGATATCTTCAGAACATTCCACCCCAAAGCCACAGAATATACATTCTTCTCAAGTGCACATGGGACATTTTCAAAGATAGACCCATTTTGGGACATAGGCAAAGTCTCTTCAAATTCAAGAAGATAGAAACCATATCAAGCACCTTCTCAGATCACAGTGACATAAAACTGGAAATTAACTACCATAAAAATAATCCAAAGAAATCAAACACATGGAGACTAAACAGCATGCTATTAAACAAGGACTGGGTTACCAGAGAAATCAAGAAAGAAATTAAAAACATCCTGGAAACAAATGACAATGAAAACACAACAATCCAAAATCTATGGGGCACAGCAAAAGCAGTTTTGAGAGGGAAGTTCATATCCCTACAAGCCTATTGCAAAAAACAAGAAAAAATGGTAACAAATTATCTAACTCTACAACTCAAAGTGTTAGAAAAAGAGCAACAAGAAAAGCCCAGTGTAAGCAGAAGGAAGGAAATAACAAAAATCAGAGCAGAGATAAATGACATAGAGACCAAAGAAACAATACATAAGATCAACAAAACCAAGAGCTGGTTCTTTGAAAGGATAAACAAGATAGATGGACCTCTAGCCAGGCTAACCAAGAAACAAAGAGAGAGGACCCAAATAAACAAAATCAGAAATAAAAGAGGTGAAATAACAACAGACCCCACCGAAATACAAAGGATTGTTACAAAATATTATGAACAACTCTATTCCAACAAACTGGACAACCTAGAGGAAATGGACATATTCCTAGAAAAATACAAACTTCCAAAACTCAATCAGGAAGAATCTAAAAATCTCAATAGAGCAGTGACTTGGGAAGAAATTGAAAGAGTCATCAAAAAGCTTCCAGCAAACAAAAGCCCAGGGCCAGATGGCTTCACAGGAGAGTTTTACCAAACATTCAAGGAAGAACTAAAACCTATCCTCCTCAGACTATTCCAAAAAATTCAAGAGGAAGGAACACTTCCAACCTCCTTCTATGAAGCCAGCATCACCCTAATACCAAAACCAGATAAAGACAACTCAATGAAAGAGAATTACAGGCTAATATCACTCCTGAACATAGATGCCAAAATCCTCTACAAAATTCTAGCAAATCGGCTCCAGCAGAGCATCACAAAGATCATACACCATGACCAAGTAGGATTTATTCCATGAATTCAAGGATGGTACAATATCTGCAAATCAATAAACGTGATACATCACATAAACAAATTGAAAGTTAACAATCATATAGTCATATCAATTGATGCAGAAAAAGCATTTGATAAAATCCAACACTGTTTTCTGATAAAAACTCTCAAGGTGGAAGTATAAGGATCATACCTCAACATAATAAAAGCTATATATGATAAACTCACAGCCAACATCATACTCAATGGGCAAAAACTAAAACCATTCCGTCTAAGAACAGGAACAAGACAGGGATGCCCACTATCGCCACTCCTGTTTGACATAGTACTGGAAGTACTAGCCATCGCTATTAGACAAGAAGAGGAAATAAAAGGCATCCAAATTGGAAAAGAAGAAGTAAAGTTATCCTTATTTGCAGATGACATGATATTGTACATAAAAAAAACAAAAGACTCCATTAAAAAACTAATTGACTTAATAAATGAATTTGGCAATGTAGCAGGATACAAAATTAATGCCAAGAAATCCATGGCATTTCTATACACCAAAAGCGAACTTATAGAAACAGAGACTAAAAAAGCAATTCCATTTACCATCGCACCAAAAAAATTAAGATACCTAGGAATAAACTTACCTAAGGAAGTAAAGAACCTATATGCGGAAAACTACAAGACACTGAAAAAAAGAGACAGAGGAAGATATAAACAGATGGAAGAACATACCATGTTCATGGATAGGTAGAATCAACATCATCAAAATGTCCATACTTTCTAAAGCAATCTATAGGTTCAATGCACTCCCCATTAAAATACCAACGGCATATTTCACTGACCTAGAAAGAACTCTCCAAAAGTTCATTTGGAACAATAAAAGACCCCGAATAGCCACAGCAATCCTGAGAAAGAAGAGTAAAGTAGAAGGGATCTCAATACCAGACTTCAAACTGTATTACAAAGCCACTGTTCTCAAAACAGCCTGGTACTGGCATAAGAACAGATATATAGATCAACGGAATAGAATGGAGAACCCAGATGTCAACCCAAATCACTATGCTCAGTTAATATTTGACAAAGGAGGCACAAATATACAATGGAGTCAAGAAAGTCTCTTCAATAAATGGTGTTGGGAAAATTGGACAGATACATGCAAAAGAATGAAACTAGATCACCAACTTACACCATACACAAAAATAAACTCAAAATGGATACAGGACTTAAACATAAGACAGGAAGCCATAAAAAAAACTAGAGGCATCCACAGGCAGCAAAATCTCAGACATATGCCAAAAGAACTTCTTCACTGATACTGCCCCTAGGGCAATGGAAGCTAAAGAGAAAATAAACAAATGGGACTACATCAAAATAAAAAGCTTTTTTACAGCAAAAGAAACCATCTACAAAACAACAAGAAAGCCCACTGTATGGGAGAACATATTTGCAAATGTTATCACTGATAAAGGTTTAATCTCCAACATCTACAGACAGCTTATACAACTAAATAAAAGGAAGATGAATGATCCAATTAAAAAATGGGCAATGGACCTAAATAGAATATTTTCAAAAGAAGACAGAAGGAAGGCTAAGAGGCACATGAAAACATGCTCAAAGTCAGTAATTATCCGAGAGATGCAAATCAAAACAACAATGCAGTACCATCTCACACATGTCAGAATAGCCAACATCAACAAATCAACAAAGGACAAGTGTTGGCGAGGTTGAGGAGAAAAAGGAATCCTTGTGCACTGCTGGTGGGAATGCAGACTGGTAGAACCACTTTGGAGAACAGTATGGAGTTTCCTCAAAAAACTGAAAATGGAACTCCCATTTGACCCAGTAATCCCACTCCTAGGAATATATCCCAAGAAATTAGAAACACCAATCAGAAAAGATATATGCACCCCTATGTTCATAGCAGCACAATCTACAATAGCTAGAATCTGGAAACAGCCTAGGTGCCCACCAGCAAATGATTGGGTCAAAAAATTATGGTACAGCCGAAACCGGTTTGGCTCAGTGGATAGAGCGTCGGCCTCTGGACTGAAAGGTCCCAGGTTTGATTCTGGTTAAGGGCATGTACAATACCTTGGTTGTGGGCTCATCCCCAGTAGGGGGTGTGCAAGAGGCAGCTGATCGATGACTCTCTTTCATCAATGTTTCTAACTCTCTATCTCTCTCCCTTCCTCTCTGTAAAAAAATCAATAAAATATATATTTAAAAAACAAAATAAAAATCTATGGTACATCTACACAATGGAATACTATGCTGCCATAAAAAATATGGATTTCTCATCATTTGCAGCAACCTGGATAAAACTAGAGAACATCATGTTGAGTGAAATAAGCCAGTCAATGAAAGAGAAATACCACATGACCTCACTTATTTATGGATATTAAAGAACATTATAAACTGATGAACCAAAAGTTAGATATAAAGACAGTAAAGCAACAAGCAGACTGTCAAATTAGAGCCGGGAGGGTAAGGAGATCTGGGTTAGATAAGAGATCAACCGAAGGACTTGTATACATGCATATAAGTACAACCAATGGACATAAAACTCTGGGGAGGGAAGGCATGTATGGAAGGGGGGGGCAATGTTAAAATATGTACACAGATAATTTAATAAAAATATTTTAAAAAATAAATAAAATAAAAATAGAACAATTATCGAAGATTGACTTAGTCTCTCACTTTTGGTCAAGAAAGCATTAATTTTTTTTAATTGATATATATAGAGAGAGAGATTGATTATATATATATATATATATATATATATATATATATATAGAGAGAGAGAGAGAGAGAGAGAGAGAGAGAGAGAGAGAGAGAGAGAGAGAGAGAAAGAGAGAGAGAGAGAGTGAGAAAGATAAGCCCTGACCAGGGATTGAACCCACAACCTGGGTATATGTGTCCTGACCAGAATGGAACCTGCCACACATTTTGGTGTACTGGAGGATGTCAGTTTGTGTTACAGGAGATATAGTAAGTATAATAACTTAATTTCTATTAGCTACAGAAATTTAAGACAAAATGTTGAATTTTTTTGATGGGAGTAATATACTAAACAGTGTCGCTCAGTGGTTGAGCTTGGACCTATGAACTAGAAGGTCATGATTCAATTCCAGATCCGGGCACGTGCTCAGGTTGGGCCTGAGGCACGGCTGATTGGTGATACTTTCTCATTATTGATGTTTCTACCACTCTAGTTCTCCCTTCCTCTCTAAAATCAATAAATTATTTTTAAAAATGAAATTAGAAATAGCTTTCAACAGATTGGAGGGAGAGTGGCTATAAATAGACATAAACAAAGTCAGGAATTTGAAACTAAAAAGTAAATATGCACTCCTAGGAAGTGAGAGCATTTTGATTTACTTTATGAATCAAATGAATATTGACTGAACAATATCAAAGGGGTGGAATATATTCTGGAAATTTAAAAATGAAGAAGGGGAAAACAAATGATGGGAACAATGTGTTAGAGCTCTCCATTACTGAGGATGTCCAACTACCCACAGACATGTCTAACGCTATACGTGACCTATCAATGAGAAAATCCCCATAACCCTGAAGACTTATTTTAGCAACAATCTTTATGTTCTTAGTTAAAAGCCAAAGAGCAGCTCAATATTATTCTTTCATATTTTAGGGAATACAGGAGGGTAATGTAGGAAACTCCCTATCTTGACATTAAGTTTTTCTATACCGTTAAAATCAAGTACTTTTTACAGTATCGTGACACATTTAAGCAAGGTCAAGAAAACCATAGAGCTTTGTAATTTATGCACCACCAAAATTATCTCATCCTATAAGTTACGTATTATCCAGATAACTGCTCTACAATGCTAGAAGTCATAAAATAAATATACAACATAAACTGTTGGGTAAAATCACTCATATGGAAACCACCGATTCAGATTATTTTCATGGCTTATTGCAACCAATTAAGTGATACAACCTGCCCTTTAAGTGCAAATACCAACACTTTCCAGCTTTCTACCCTATGCCTGTTACCTGGAGTCTCTTTCCCAGGAATTGATAATGAAGCAGCACTTTTGCTCCTGGCTAGAGATGCTTTTGTTGGGGCGATCAGACGCATGATTAAATCATTCTCCCAAAGATCCGTGTACAGTTGCTGAACTGAATGATGAGAACAAATAAAAAGGATTCAATTTGAGGCCTCACAAACAAATGCCAAGCAAAAAAGAACAATGTGAACTGCTGCAAACAACTTTCTCAGCCGAAAAGTAGAGGCAATGAGAACACATACATAATAGTGACCACTGCCACCTGACCAGACTGCATTGTTAGGGAAGATAATACCTGAATAAAGGAGCAAAGGCCCCAGCATACCACAACACCATCAGTGAAGGAATCTAGGTAATGTACTTAACAGAGTCCAGCAGATGAAGTCTTTTTTTTTCTTCTTTTCTTTTTAATATATATTTTATTGATTTTTTTACAGAGAGGAAGAGAGAGGGATAGAGAGTTAGAAACATTGATGAGAATCATCGATCAGCTGCCTCTTGCACACACCCCCACTGGTGTTGTGCCGGCAACCAAGGCACATGCCCTTGACCAGAATCGAACCCGGGACCCTTCAGTCCACAGGCCAACGCTCTATCCACTGAGCCAAACCAGTTTTGGCAGCAGATGTAGTCTTTATGGAGAAACTCACATATGAAGAAAAACGTTGTACATGACAAAACAAGTTTGTTTACAATCATACTATTCAAGTCCATTGCCAAAAGCTCCAAGGTATGGACAGAATTATTCTGCAATTAATTTTTATTCTCATAAGGATTGCTGTGACAATGGCATTTGACCAGTATCAATGAAGTGAAGAGTGTTCAGTAAGTGAATGGTTTAGTGTGAAATGAAAAGCAATGATGATTTTGGATAGGGAAAAGTTAGAGAGAAAACTGTGAGAAAGAAAATAAAGAAAAAAGTCGTTAGTAATAATTGTGATATCTTGCATGCAATAATCAATGGGGAAAACATTCACAAAAGAAGGAAGTGGGGTAACAGAACAAAGCTTTGAGATTCAAAATATGGATGGTAATTTGGGACTTCTAAATGCAAATTGATGAACTGTTTAAAGGAAACCAAGTCTTCCAGTACAAGAGTCATCTACTTTGTTAGCCTCATTAAAGACCTCTTGTTCAGATAATGGCAGAATTATGTATTTCATTTAAAGACAGCTCTCCTAGCTTCAGCCAAATAGGCATGGCACCAAAGTACATTTTTTAATTAAAGAAGGGATATTTTGACTTCTACTTTTAGGAATGACTTTGCAAGCAACTGAATGTTGACACACATATATCTCTTCTAAACCACTATTTAAGACTGATACTTAGAAATAACTAACTACCTGATTTTCTTTCTTTTTCAGCTTCTCTAGGGTAATGTAGTTTGCTATACCTTTTATTCCAAAGACTAGAGGCCCAGTGCACCAAATTCATGCACTGGGGACGGGGTCCCTCAGTCCGCCTGCACCCTCTCATAGTTCAGGAGCCCTCAGTGGACATCCCCTCACACCTTACCTCCTAGCTTGCTGCTCCTTCCTGTTTCCAGTAGTGAGCCCAGCTTCTGGCTGAGCAGCACTTCATAGTCACCGGTTGTTCCACCTTAACAGTCACTGAGCTTTTATTATATAGACTAGAGGCCTGGTGCATGAAATTCGTGCTGGGGCAGGGGTGTCCCTCAGCCCAGCCTGCACCCTCTCCAATCTGGGACCCCTAGGGGGATGTCCGACTGCTGGGATTGGGCCTAAACCGACAGTCAGACATCCCTCTCATAATCCTGGACCGCTGGCTCCTAATCACTTACTTACCTGTCTGTCTGCCTGGTCACTCCTTACTGCCCCTGCCACCAGCCTGGTTGACTCCAACTGCCCCCCCCCACTGGCCTGGTTGTCTCTTACTGTCCCCCTTGCTGGCCTGGTTACTACCAACTGCCCTTCTCTGCTGGCCTGGTCGTCCCTAACTGCCCCCCTTGCTGGCCTGGTTGCTCCTCAGAGCCCCCCCACTCCGGCCTGGTCACCCCATGCAGCCAGAGTTCAGTCGTTTAGTCTTCCCTCACTAACCCCCCCTTGCCGACCTGGTGGCCCCATTCAGCCTGCTTGTTCAGTCCTTTGGTCGTCCTCACTAACTCTCCTGCCATCTTGATGGCTCACTGCAGCCTGCTTGTTCAGTTGTTTGGTGGTCCCTCATTAACCCCCCTGCCAGCCTGGTCATAGGCAGCCATCTTGTGAGGGTCAATTTGCATATTACCTCTTTATTACATAGGATAAGCACCCTTTCTTCTGGAGATCAAGGGCAAAGCAATATTATATTTTACAAGCAGCTTAAATATATTTTAATAGCAAGTCACTCCTTTTTTCAAATATTTTCTATCTTCTCTGCACTTTTTTGTAAGAATTTAAATTTCAAATATGGTGTAGAGATTCTATATCCCAAAACTTAAAAAATAGTTTACTCTTTAAGTTATCTAAAATAAAATAAAATTCTTTTTAAAATGGTAAAATTTAAGAGAGTAAATATCCCATGCTACCTGACCACATCAAAGTTCCCAAATTAGGAATATACAACCTTTAATTTTGGTTATAATCTATAACATCTATTACCAAAGTAACTTATATTTCAGTTATAACTAGTATTTTTAAACAAAAATGATCATTAATATAGATGTACAATTTTAGCAACCCAAACCATTCATAGGGAAATAGTTTATTTTGTGTAGACACTTTTCCATTTCACTTAAAGTATTCTGGCTCAGAATATTGAGGAATGTCTGTTTAATAATCTCTCCTTGGGGGACCTGCCAATTAAAGTACATATTGACAATATAGCATAATTTGAAAATTCTTGAATAGATAATTGAACATTAAAGAATCAAAGAGGCATAATTGATTCATTCAGGCAATTAAATCACATGTCCTTTATCATCATACTGCAAGAAATGACAAAATGATATAAATAATTATTGTGAGGCAGCAACAAGCATAAGAAAAATAGACTATTTGAATCAGTCAAGATTTAAAACAAGGATATTTAAAATATTACAAGCTAGCCGAAACCGGTTTGGCTCAGTGGATAGAGCATCGGCCTGGGGACTGAAAGGTCCCAGGTTCGATTCCGTCAAGGGCATGTACCTTGGTTGCGGGCACATCCCCAGTAGGGGGTGTGCAAGAGGCAGCTTATCAGTGAGTCTCTCTCATTGATGTTTCTAATTCTCTATCCCTCTTTCTTCCTCTCCGTAAAAAAAAAAAAAAAAGAAAAAAAACAATAAAATTTATATATTTTTAAATAATAATAATAAAATATTACAAGCTAGCTTATGAACTTCATTTAAATTTGAAATGTTCAACTCTCCAAGTTAAAGGGGTTTCACTTAAATTTGAAAGGATTTTATAAATGTAAGCCACTGCCAATATTGATTTTGTTTTCCCTAGAATCATTTTACAACATTCATCATTTCAGGGTGTGCAATATACTGTACCTTTAAACAAGTTATTTCACAAATTATCTTCCACACATACTTTCTTGCATTAAAAACTGATACTTGGGATTGCTTCTTTAGTGAAACTTAACTAATTATTGACTTCAAAATCATCTGTCCATTCTCTTTACATGTCTTATTAATATGGCAAGTAGACAAATCAACGAAAGCATAATAGTGTTTGCTCAGTATATTGAAAATGTAATAAACATCTCTGGAGAAAATCTTTGCTAATTCCTCAAAGCAATTAGACAGTGAAACAGAGTGCTTATGAAATAAGATATATTAAAATAAATGTATATAAACCGTCCATTGCAATGGGTGTTATCTAATTTTGCTAAAGGACTGAGTTAGTGAAAAATAAATTAAATTTATTATATGACCAGCAAGGTACAAAAAAAAAATCTTCTCACATTAATTTATGAATGGACCCTAGCTATATATAAAAGTGCTTTGGGAAAGCGTACTGAGGGTAACAGTGGTACGAGGATCAACTTTTGTTGGACCAATATAAGAAAAAATGTGATGCACAAAAACTGACAAATAAAAGACCTCACAAGCAATCTATGGAAACTGTATGAGTCCTAAAAGTACAAATAGCATAATATAAGTATGAACAAAACAAATATCACTGTCAATATATAAAAACTATAATATTTAGACAAACTGGAAATCTTTCCGACTAAGTTAATCACAGCTACAATTAATTATACTATTTTAAATTAGATCCAGAATCTTTTTTTATACTAGAATTTTATAGCAATCACCATTGTTCCAAAAACTGTCAAGGCACCTAATAATACAAAAAAGCACTTTAATTGCAATTACACCCATTTCTTAATTCATAAGGTATAAAAGAGGTATTTCTTCTTATTAATGGCTAAGTTTGAAGGAATGTTATGGAATGTTTACCATGTTTTTTTCTGCCAAAATCACTTCTATTTTTATTTCCAGAAGGAAAAAGGACTTTTTAAATTGATGGGTATGCTTGCCTAATCCATTTCAATTATCAATTAACCATGTGTTACAAGCCAGAAATGGTCATTGACACACACTCAGATAGTGATTTTTAAAATAAGAATACTAATTAAAAGGGCAAACACCAGGAGCAAAGGGTATGAAGTATTCATAGTAGATAAATTCATTTGGGGTTTTAACTATAAAAGCAGAACAGGAATTACACTTGCCTGTCAACTTTACAAGGCTGTTGTGAACAAATATATATAAAGCAGATCAATTTGTCCACTGCTATATACGGTACATTGAGTGGCCAGATTATTATGATCTCTGAACGCACAATAATCTGGCCACTCAAAAAAAAAATATATATATATATATGGCTTAGTGGATGAATTCATGCACGTGCATGGGTGGCATCCGGCCAGCCTGGCCACGGGGGACATGGGCAGTTGGCCAGCCTGCCTGCTGGTTGAACTCCTGGTTGAGGGGACAATTTGCATATTAGCCTTTTATTATATAGGATATATACTGAGTGGCCAGATTATTATGCATTCAGAGATCATAATAATCTGGCCATTCAGTGTATATATATACTATTACTTTCCTTAAATGACGTAATAGTCATGAAACTTAATGAAATTTGAATGACTAGTTTAACTAGTCCCTAGGAAAAAAATTATTTCATTTATATATTGGAAGGAATATGAATTAATTTTAAAATAAATTATTGTGTCACTTAACAGTGATGTTTGGTCAAAATATGTTTCACATTCTCAATGTCACTAATCAGAGAAATGCAAATTAAAACCACAAAGAGGTATCATCTCACACCTGTCAGAATGGCTACCATCAATAAATCAACAAACTTGTTAATGAAGATTTAGAGAAAAGGGAACACTAGTACATTGTTGATGGGAATGCAAACTGGTCCAGCCACTACAGAAAGCAGTATGGAGTTTCCTCAAAAAACTGAAAATGGGACTGCCACTTGATCCAACGATCCTACTTCTAGGAATATATCCTAAGAACCCTAAACACCAATTAAGGAAAAATATATGCATAGCCCACAGACACAGAAAATAGTGTAGTGAAGGCCTGAGGGATAGGTGGGGATTGGGCAGAAGAATTTTAGGGGGTAGGGGAAATGTGGAACATCTGTAATACTGTCAATAATAAAATATATTGATTTAAACATAATTTTCTCAAGTAATAAAAAGAAAAACAAAATATGTTTTACCTTAGGCTACCTGAGCCTAACAAACCCTTCTGATGTGATTAATACACAAATCAGCCCAGCCGGCATGGCTCAGTGGTTGTGTATTGACCTATAACCAGGAGGTTGTGGTTAAGTTCCGGATTAGGACACATGCACAGGTTGTGGGCTCGATCCCCAGTATGGGCATGCAGGAGGCAGCAGATTAATGATTCTCTCTCATCATTGATGTTTCTAGCTCTCTCTTTTCCTTTGTGAAATCAATAAAAAGTATATTTTTAAAAACACACAAATCACTAAAAGAATTTATGCTGATATTTATATGATATATTGATTTTATATATACATACATTGATAGTTATATTGATATATTGATGAAAATACAAAATAGTAATGACCTCTATTGTAAAACAATGTGGTACTCTTCTGTAATAAATCTAAATGTGGCACAATCTAAAGAAGTGGTACTATAAAAATACATATAAAGAATTGGTTTTGTTTATTTGAAATTCAGTGGAATACATGAAATAACTACTTACCCTTAGAAATAGAATTCTGAAGACCAGGAGATGGCGGTGTCATTTGTTGGTGTGATCCAGAAGTATCCTGTTCTAGCTTTTCAGTAGATATAGACCGTTTCTTGACTGAGAAAAGATAGAATTTTTACTGTACTCATATTTTTAAAAAGCATCATTAGCAGAAACAGAATGAGTTCGTGATATAGTTCTATGGAGCCTAAACAGGCATTAATTAAGCATACAATGTGAGTCATTCCTTAAAAACTATAAAATTAAACCTATGTTTTATGAAATTGTGTAGAGTAATGTCACATGTAGGATAATTTACTGTATGTTAATAGTAAACAGGGCAGGACTAGTTTATTTTACAGCATGGATGGAACTGGAGAGCATTATGCTAAGTGAAATAAGCCAATTAGAGAAAGAGAAATATCACATGATCTCACTCATTTGTGGAATATAATGAACAACATAAACTGCTGAACATAAACAGATCCAGAGACAGAGAAGCATCCATCAGACCGTCAAACCTCAGAGGGAAGGTAGGAGAGGGTGGGGGTATGTGGGAGAGATCAACCAAAGGACTTGTATTCATGTATATAAACTCAACCAATGGACACAGACACCAGGAGGGTGAGGGCATGAGTGGGGAGGGGGGGTGGAGAACATTGGGGGGGTTAAAGACACATATATAATATCTTATTCAATAAAGAAAAAAAAGAAAAAAACATGCATTGGAAAGTGTCAAGCTTATTTACTGTTAATCATTTTATACTAATTGCAAGTTTAACTGGTTAAGATTTTGGATATACTACATAAAGTTATAAAAGTTGCACCTGTTTCTTTTGCAACCTCACAACACAGGTGAAATACTGTGCATGTCAAAAAATACATGGGACATTTTCATTTAACATACAAAACTCAAAACCTTGTGGTAAATGCAACCTATACTAGGAGACAATATTTAAACATCAGCATGAATGAACTTAAATTTTAATTGTTGTATTACCTGTTTTACTTTCAGAGTTCACTGTTGTAGAGCCTTCCCATGACCATCTTTTTTGACGTTGTTCAATACGATTGCTCCTCTCCAATGTACGAGAGACAACAGCTTTGAATTTCTCCTGTTTAAAATAAATGCAGTAGTATGGTAGTTCCCAGAGGGAAGGAGGTGGAGGGCAATAAAGGGTAAAGGGAGCCAAATATATGGAAACAGATTAATAGTTTGGGTGCTGACACACAATGCAATATTCAGATCATATATCATAGAAATGTACACTTGAAACCTACATGACCCTATTAACCAATGTCACTCCAATAAATTTAATAAAATAAAAATATTTTTAAATTAAATAAATGCCAAATTAATATTTAAATGCCAACAATTTTTACATATTGTTTTTAGTGGGTAGTATAATTTTGATTTGTGGGTTATAAAACAATACCATCATCAAATTTTTTTATCAAGCAAAAATTGTTTTATATCAGATAAAAGTTAAAAATAGAGACACGTCTTGCCTGTCTGGTGGATGAGTGTTGACCCATGAACTAAGAGGTCATTGGATCAATTCCTGGTCAGGGCACATGCCCAGGTTGTGGGCTCCATCTCCAGTAGGGGGCAAGCAGGAGGCAGCCAATCTGTTTCTATCCCTCTATCCCTTTCCCTTTCTCTCTCAAATCAATTAAAAAGAAACATTTAAAAATAGAGACATGTCTCAGGTATCAATCAATATCAGTGCTTCTACTGAATAATTAGGTTTTAATCTTATAAATCTGAATCAAAGAACTGTGCTTCCCTCTGCTAATATTTAGGAAATTTAGAATTAAAATTAGGAAATTTAGAATTAAAATTTGTAGTCTATTACTACCAACTATACAAAGACTGAGGGTCCAATTTTGTGTTTACTAATCATATATTATGTTCTATTATTTCCCCCTCTGCTTGAGGGAGTCAAGCATCCATCACCTGGTTGTGGCATGTATTATCTTAAATATACCTATTTACAACAATTCAAATTCTGGTGTTAACTAATCCAGTTTTAAAAAAGATAATAAATGTGTTTGTTTTGAACTCAAATTCAATTTAAACTTCTCAGGATTATAGCTACACAGATGTCAATGTCACAGGCTAGCAAAACAACTCCATTGCCAGAAATGAAATGGTTTTCTTTACCAAGATATTTTTCAACCTTGTGCTGTAATATACCAGGAGCTATACTCAGGTGAAAAAAAAAAATCAACTTCAGGACCAGGTTTTCTATTTGTCCCTGACAACCACTGTTTCTTAGCAACACCATCCTTACAATGTCCCCACCGTTTCTGAGGGCAAAGAGGCTAAACATAACAGGAAAATGGAGAATCGTCCGTATCCTCTGAGAATAGCAATAACAATTCTTGAAATAAAATTTATTTTAAAATCCATCTACAGGCAGTATTTTAAAATGATATTTCTACCAGAAAATTACTTGGAAACCCAGACAGTATAATATAGACCAAAAACAGAAATTAATCTTGTATTAGTTGAACATTACTGATTTCTAAGAATTCTATCCTGCTATTTCCAAATGCATTGATTTTTCACATGAACTTGTGCTCTCAGCTTCCTTCCTGCATCTGTGGCTCAGATATATCTCCCATCACCCCTCCTCAGCACCACAGTTTGGGGTTTTCCCCTGATCTACTTGCAGCCTACTTACAGTGTCCCATGTCCCTGCTCTATTCCCCTACATCAGCTCTCTGGTGTTCTTTTTGATTTGTCTCATCTTTCTTTCTCTTTTCCTGCCATGTTTCTGGCTCCCTTTCTGTCTACAGTTTCATTTTGCTGCATTTTCTTCTCTTCTGTGTTATTTTTCTGATTCCTCTTTCTCTAAGATGGTTTTTTTTTTTTTCTTCTCAGTCCCCTGAGACTGCCTCTCTCCTCCAGGGTCCCTCCACAACTCTGCAGTTTTCTGTTTTACTTTATTTGGTTCTATGTCTCTACCTAGTTCATATTCATTCTCATTCATTGTCTCTTTCTCTCTCCTTTCTCTTTAACAGAGATAAATAAATTAAGGAGATATCTCACAGAGAAAAAGAAGTGATAGAAATTCTAAACAAGAGTCCATCAAATACTGGAATGTAAAAAAACAAACAAACAAACAAAAAAAAACACACAGCATAAGAATCCAAATAAAGCCCTAACCAGTTTGGCTCAGTGGATAGAGCGTCGGCCTGCTGACTGAAAAATCCCAGGTTCGATTCCAGTCAAGGGCATGTATCTTGGTTTCAGGCACATCCCCATTAGGAGGTGTGTAGGAGGCAGCTGACTGGTCTTTCTCTCTCATCAATGTTTCTGACTCTCTATCCTTCTCCCTTCCTCTCTGTATATTTAATATGTTTAATAAAAAAAAAAAAAAATATATATATATATATATATATATATATATATATATATATATATATATATATATATGTGTGTGTGTGTGTGTGTGTGTTTTTAAAGAAACCACATAAAATGACCTGGCCTATTTGGCTGGATAGAGCATCGGCCTGCAGACTGAAGGGTCCCAGGTTTGATTCCAGTCAAGGGCATGTACCAGTAGGGAATGTGCAGGAGTCAGCTGATCGATGTTCTCTCTCATCAATGTTTCTAACTCTCTATCCTTCTCCCTTCCTCTCTGTAAAAAATCAATTAGAAAAAGAAAGAAACCACATAAAAGGCCCAGAAAGACAGAGAAAGTGATAGTGGATCATGGGTGGGGAAGAAATTACACAAGTCAGTACTAGAATAAGATCCACAGATGGAGGTAGGGGCTGGAAGTGAGGCACGTGCAAGAGCAACTGTGTGCACAAGGAAGGAGGAAAAGTTAGCACCAGAAAAAGACACAGAGAAGAAGGCTCATGAGGAAGAAATGGAACCAAAGAAAATGTAAAAATTAGAGCAACAAAAAAGAGAAGAATATAAAAACACACATACTGAGAGAACAGGCAGAAAGTGCAAAGATGAGGAGAGAAAAAGAAACTAAAACAAAGAAAAGTGAGGCACTTCAGACAGAGAACCAGAAGACAAATTAAGACTTACGTAGGGACTGCCAAAACCTGTGTTGCTCAGTGGATAGAGCGTTGTCCTGCAGACTGAAAGATCCCAGGTTCGGTTCTGGTCAAGGGTATGTACCTTGGTTGCAGGCACATCCCCAGTAGGGGTTGTGCAGGAGGCAGCTGATCGATGTTTCTCACTCTCTATCCCTCTCTCTTCCTCTCTGTAAAAAAATCAATAAATATATATTTTTAAAAAGACTTACTTAGGGACACTTGAGAATCACTGGAATAAAAGAGTATGCCAGCAAGAAAAAGAATGGTGTCACAGAATTTGCTGGATTCAGAAGAGTCAATTTACTCAGACTAAAGTAGTGGAATGACCTAAAGGAGAAAAATTTGGTGTCAGAAAGAACCATACAGAATGAGACAGGGAATCAGATGCCATGTGTAAATAGTAAAAGACAAACTGAGTAAAGAGGGACAGAGGGAAAAACAGAGGGCATCAAAAAGGCAGTGAGTGACTCATGCTAAGAGAGTGCCAAAGACACTAACAAGGAGTCCATAAAGAAAAATAGAGCAGTGGGCCACAAAACAACAGACAGAAAGATGAGAATGTAACAAATGAACTAGAGGGAGAGGGAGAAGGAGAGGGACACGGAGAGAGTGCGTACACATAAGAGGGAGTCAGGTGAATGCCTAAGAGTAGATTTGCCCGGGACTCAGTCATGCAATCAGAGTTGTAGTTGTAAGAAGTAAGCCCATTAGATGGGGCCTTGTCAGGGAGGGCCCTACTGTGAGTCCGTGCATATTAGGAACTGGGCCAACACTGAAAACTTTCTAGTAGGAGAGAGAGCATCTCAGAGTAAACCCCAGGCCATAGGCACCCGTGTGTCATGTTCTGAAGGCGGATAGGGTTCTTCTCCTGGATCTGCAAGGCTCTTTACCTAAGCCAGTGGGTCTCAATTCCCAGGTCTGACTGGGAGAGGGGCAAGAGTCTAATATTGAGGGGAAGAAATGAAGATATGGGATTGGTTCCCTTCCCACAGGTTGAACCAGTAAAGGCAGAGATAGGCTTAAAAATAAGTATTCCACCCAGTCAGTGTAACTCAGTGGTTGAGCATTGACAGTTAAGATTGGTTGCAGTTACAACTGATAATGATTCTCTCTCATCACTGACATTTCTATCTCTCTCTTTCCCTCTCCCTTACTCTCTTAAATCAATAAAAATTATTTTTTCAAAAAAATATTCCAGACCCAGGTAACACAGTATATCATCTGATTAACAGGCTAGAAAAATATGTACCCTTTCTTCTTCTAATTTTTGTTTTCTTTTTTCTTCAACAGATATTCTTCGCTGTTCATCTTTCTGTTTTTGTTCTCTCAGCTTTCGTTGTTTTTCTTCCATCTGTTTTTCATACTGGATCTTGGACTTTCTTTCTTTTTCAAGTAGTTGTATTTCTTTTGTAGCTGAAATATTACAAATACAAGGTGTAAGATCCAGAAAATATTAGTTTTCCACATAACAAACCAAGGAGAAGGTTAATATATCTCATTCTCTTCCTTAAAAACAACAACATGATGGGGGGATGAGGACAAGTATGTAATACCTCAATCAATAAAGAAATTAAAATAAAAAAATAACAACATGCACTAATAAACATTTATGGTATAAGTGTGGCCACCAAACAAAAATTCCAAAGAACTAAATTAGTTTATAGGAATCTCATCCTGTCTAAACCCAAATTCCAAATTAAAGAATGTAGTTTCAAAAAATAAAGAAAAAAATAAATGTAGTTTCACACATTTGACACTTCTGCTTATTTGAGCTAAAGTTAAGCATTAAAAGAAAATTTTTTAAAAAACACATGGCCAGAATGAATTTTTTTTCCATTCAACTAGGAAACTTCTTTTAAAAGCCTCATCTATGCAGGCCATATTAAGCATGCCAATCATGGCCTTTGTCACATACAACATTTTGATGTATTACTATATTCAATTTTTCCTAGTTTAAGCATGGAGAGCATCTAACAGTTATAAAATAGTTTCTGGCTTAGAGCTAGGAAGGAATAGTTCCTTATCAAAACAGTGGTAATTGATATTCTATTTGAATAAAGTTGGGCAATAATATTGTCAGTGGATATGTAGACCAGAGGAGAAAAAATACACAGTTGAAAAGCATTTTTTCAAGGTGTAAAACGATTATGCTTTTAGATCTCAATTGATCCACAGTAACACTTGAGAAGCATAGCAATCAGTGAAAGATTCCATGTTAAGATTCTTAGAAATTTCATTTTTATGTTTAGTATTATTTTACTGAAAACCCATTCTGCAGTTTCTAAAAATGTTTAAGAGATATTCACACCTTAGTTTTCAGAAAATTAAAGCTAACAGAAATTACTACTTCAAAAATTAAACAACCAGTTAAAAATTTTTCATGGACCTTCTTTATCTGATTTACTACAAACATTTAACCCAATATAATAGATACTATAAAAACTAAGATCTATCATATAATATGGCTAGGAAAAGTAAGTAAAAACCAATTTGTAAATATATAACCTTCATATAAAATTCATTGTTTTTTTTAAAGTCTAAAATATACCATCTTCTTGTCTTCTTCTTTCTTCTCTGCGCTCCTTGGCTAATTTTTGTTTTATATCATTTTTAAGTACCGATCCATCTATCACTTAAAAAAAAAAAAAAGAACATTGTTAGACATTAATAGGACATCAAATTTTAATGATATGACATGTGACATCTTCCAAAGCATTCTAGGAATTATACCTGGTTTAAATGCTGATTTTGTATTTGAGGATTGGGGTGGAAGGGAGCTAAATCCACTCTGATTGCGTCTTTCTTGAGCAATGGCATGAGCTGCCGCAACTAAAATACAAGGAGATAAAGAAAAGGAATTAGATATTAAGATTACAAATAGCTAATACAGGGGACTGCAAAGCACAGCCAACTGTGTCTTTGATGGTGAAATATAGCATTTCTTCCATAAGGGGAAGTCATGGAGGGTTAATCTAAGTCGACAACAAAGACATACTGAATTCACAATGTTTAACAGTAATTTCACACAAAAATTAAAAGTGTGTGCTGTAGATGTGACAGCATAACTGTGACATAGAATTGGTAGTGGAAGTAGCAGGACAAGTTTGTGGAGGAATAGTAGCTAGTGATTAATAGCTTTCAAAATTCATCAGACAAGACATTCTGCCAAGCACTGGAAAAACTGAGCTGGCAAGGAATTGGAAAAAATGTTTCGCCATAACCTGGGACTTTAGAAAGCATTTGGAGTTTATGGATATTAATTTGGAAGCAAAAGTGTCAACAGTGATATCCTCAGAGATCGGCCCAATATTAAGGAGTACATTTATAAATGACCCAGATCAGGGGTTTTCTACACTGGCTGCAGCCACCGAAACTGCTTTAAAATAATTAGCAATGCCTGCCCCTCCCAACCTCCACTCTCTGGGGGGTAGGACCCAAGTCTTTACAGTTGCAAAAAGCTCTATTCTGATGCATAGTAATGGTGGTGAACCACTTAAGGAATTTCCAGTGATGGTCTTATTCTAGGTAGAAAAATGTCAAGCAAACAAATGTAAATTATACAATACAAATTTACATATGTCTTGTGTAAACAGGTAGAAAATGGAGAAATAAACTTCTATAAGAGGGATGGGGGTGGGTGGAAAAGGTGAAGAGGAATATAGTCAACAATAGGGTGATAAGTTTTTAGGGTGGCACATGATTACTAGGTTTAGTGTAGTGATCCCATTGTAAAGGTATGTAAATATCAAATCACTATACAGTACACCTGAAACTAATATAATATTGCATACCAACTATTTTTAAATTTAAAAAATAAATAAAAGGTCAATAGGAGTATAAGGGGAGCACAATTTGAGGGAAAGTAAGAAAAACTACAATTCTAGCATGATACACATATAATTTATTATAAACGATTTCCTGAAACCTTTAATATATGGCTGTTTCTAAAATGCTCCCCAATACTGGGCATCTTCAGGAAGGATCTGTAGAACAACAATGAAAATTATTTTCTACCTTTGAATGAAAGCATAAGAAATATGGCCCCATGATACTGCATACAATTCTCATTTCTATATATCAAGGTAAATATAACAGCTGAAGATAGGCAATGAAAATAATTAAGGGACCATAGAGTGAAAGAACTCTGAGATGTTAGTTGTCCCTGAAGAAAGATATCTGGGAGTCATTTTACAGAGTAACCTTGAAAAGTGACATCATAATGGCTACCACAGGGATCACCATTTCAAAAGGGAAAGAGGATTTTTTTTACCCCAGAGACCTAACAGCTCAGATAAAACATGACCTAGCTAAATTTGAAAATTAGACTCTTCTCACCTTCCTTAATAATTCATCTATTGGCAATTCTATAGACCACAATTACCCTTTGAATTTGAGTTCTAGTGTATTAAGAAAAATTCTTATATACAGTCTAAAAATTAATCCCTGTATATACCCCCTCCAACCCCTAACATTTCTATGTGTGCACAGAGAAAACAAGTAGTTTTGCACATTCAGTTTTCTTAAAAGTCCCAAGGAAAGTCCATATTTTGTACATTTTGAGAGAAATTGTCCTTTTGGTCAGCTAAATTGTGCTAAAATATGGACTTTGCTTGGGACTTCTAAGAAAACTGAAATATGCAAAAACTACCTGTTTTCTTTGTGCACACATAGAAATGTTGGGAGTTGAAAGGGGGTATATAGAGGGATTAATTAAACAGAAGTAACCTTTGAATTAGCTATGGTGGGAATAATGAACCAAATCATATAAAGGTTAATGTGGTAATATAACATCAAATATGATGTTTAGATCTTTATATCCAAATTCCTACTGGCAATAAATATATTCACCAAAAGGTGAATAAAGGATTAACCCTTTTTAAAAGAAGAAAAAGAAAGCTCTATTATGCTGGGGCTAAGACAGGACTACATTTAAAGAAAAGGTATAAAAGACATTACAAGAAGAAAACCAATCTCCTTCGGGGAAAACTTACAATCAACAATCAATCATGCTATCTAGCCCAGTATAAGCTTCAGAATTAAATGGGGGGAAAATAGGTGCCACTAGGATGCCTAAGTTAAAGAATGCTTACACTTACTAGGTTTTTAAAAGATGTCATTGAGATTCTGAAGCCCCCTTTGGACATAAAACATTTTAGCTCATTAGTGACTTCATGTAGAAAATTTCTGCTTCTCTCTGGCCCTCTTCCTCGACACATACACACACACACACACACACACACACACACACACACACACACATGATCTGTGTCACTAGAGTCCTGCTCCATTGGGGCAAACTAAATGCAAGAAAGAACACAACATGACTAGTAGTAAAGATGGTCATCTTCCTAAGACTGCACACAAGCACAACCAACACCAAATGCTAAATCCCATGAGATGTCAATGATATGCACCCCCATACTTATTCAGCAATTCTATATTGTCTGCCGCAGAGGTTGCTCTTGAATCCCTCTCAGAATTCAACATAAAATCTGTAGCCCTGCTGAAACCGGTTTGGCTCAGTGGATAGAGTGTTGGTCTGCGGACTGAGGGGTCCTGGGTTCAATTCCAGTGAAGGGCATGTGCATTGGTTGCGGGCATACCCTCGGTGGGGGGTGTGCAGGAGGCAGCTGGTTGATGTTTCTCTCTCATTGATGTTTCTAACTCTCTGTCCCTCTCCCTTCCTCTCTGTGGAAAATCAATAAAATATATTAAAAACAACAACATGTACCCCTGCTTGCCTATGACCTTTCCTCCCCATGATCCTTTCTTCTGCACTCATCAGAAATATTAAATCACCAAACTACTATTTTTATTAGGTAGGAAAGGGCAGATTGCAAAATATGATTGAACAGGGTTTTTATTGTTATAAAAGGGGTATGGTTGTGGCAGAGAAGCATACTATGAAACTAACTGGTACAGATTAATAGACTTAGTGCTAGTCACTGTTATTTGGACAACAGAATAAAAAGAAGCAACTACTACAAAATGCCAAAACATTTCATTGACTCTGTCCCCATCAGGAAATGCTGAGACCAGGAAGGCAGTTCTGGTTTAGCATGTGATGCTTTCAATTTCTAACATAAAACGGGCAGCAAGGATGTTGGTCACCTAAGGTTCTGTGTTAAACCTTTATTGCATCGCTTTTGTAAGTTTTTCATTTGAAATACTGTCAATTCAAACAACTGTCCTTTACGAGATTTTCAAATTCTTTTTTCAAAGTTCAATATACAAATGTTTTGGGGGATTATCCGGAATGCTGGTTAATTTAAATCAATGACAGAAAGCAATGTCAGAGAGTTTTAGGTGTGCTTAAGCAATAAAACAAAAGTGAATTTATTGCAAACTGTCTCTCCAGAGACTGAGAAAGTATTTTCTCCCGATGGAAAGTGTGTTTGCTTCTGCCACATTCTCTGGGGAGTTCATCCAAAGCGTTCTGGGTAACATAAATCTAAATTAATTTTTCAATTGCAAATGGGAAAAAAAAAAAAACCTCCCTAAGGATTTCAGTAAAAATCAATAAGATAGTTTTATTCCAGCTCCTACAGGACAGCAGCCCTGAGAACTTGCGAAAAGCAACCTGCTACAATCAAGAAACACTATCTCGCTCAGGTAGTGAAATAGCCTCGTGGGCTAAGATATGTGCAACCAAATGTTACAAAATTCACGATTTTTTTTTTGGGGGGGGGGGACTTTTTGGCATTGGGATAAGTTTAGAAGTACTCAAGCCCAGGGTCTGCAAGATGTCCCAGGAAAGGTGACATCTGGGCGGAGTCCTGTGCATCAGGAGGTAGAGAGAGCCAAGTTTCACCCCAACTTAAGCTCCCTCTCCATCCCACCTTGACCAGAGGGTGCCAGAGGGAAGCTTTTGGAGAAGCTGGGATTGCGACCGTGGGAAAGAATCAGAGCGCGAGCGCCCCAGGCAGAAGGAGAACTCTAACCACTGATGCCTGGAAGGGCTGCGCGGCGGGGGAGGCGGTCCCGGTGCACGGGGTCCTGGGAGTGCTAGTGCATCCTCAGCAGCCCAGCGTCCGATCCGCTGGTTGTGGGGGCGCACGCCTCCTCCCCTATTCCCCTTCCCGCCCAACAACAGGCGGGGCTCAGGAAGGTCCAGGGAGTCCGGGTTTCCAGGCCACCCCCCCCCCCCCCCCCGGGCCCAGCCCAGCAGCGCGCATTACTTCCGAGCGCCCTACTCCCGGGTTTCGGCCAGGGGCGACACTAGCCCTCAGTTTCCCCATCCGTCACTGTCCCATCGCAACTCCCCGTCCCGCCCCAGAGGATAAGGAGAGAAGGACGGGACTGGACAGCCAGACGCGACTCCGGGGTAAAGTTTTCGGGCGCCGCCGTTCAGCTCCAACGGTCTCCGGGCGCGGGAACCCCGCCTCCCGCGCAGCCCGGGCCCCCGCACCCTCCCTCCCCCCAGGAAGCCGCCGTCGCCCACTCACCCATGCGTTCCCGCATCCCCCTCAAGGATGTTCCGCAGCCGCTGGCTGTGCGTTCCGCCATCTTCCAGCAATTGATCCCCGAGCCTCTACTGTCGCTGTCGCCACAGTGCGCAGGCTCCCGGCGCGGCCACCGCTCGGGCCGGGGTGCCCCTGCCAGAGGCGGGGCGGGGCGGCTCCGCCCCCCTCCCCCCAACTCCCGCCCTGGACCCCCTACGTGGGCAGCACAGCTTTCGGCTCACCACGTGGTGACCCGCTTGGCCCAGACCACCTAGTCTACTGAAAGCCTCCGGTGTGTTCCCAGATCCCCCACCCCCGTGTTGGGGGGCCAGCCAGTCAGCAAGCGGCTGAGCCATCCAGCATTCCTTTTCCCCTTTCGTCACTTCTACCTGGCACTGCAGTCATAGTCCTTCCTTCCTCCATCCGTTCACTTAGGGAACTTGTACCGATCATCTCCTGGATGTTCACTTAGGGAGCTTGTACAGATTGTCTCCTGGATGCGCCTGCATCAGAGTGTGCTAGTCTTTGGAACACTACCCAGAGAGAGGCCCAATTTGGAGGAAGAGGTCCAGGGAGAGGTTGCAAGGGAGAAAGGTTTCTAGGAGATGCTAGGGGCCCGATCTTGAGCAGAGACGTTCTTAAACTGTTGCAAAATGAATGATGGCACTGTTAGGGCTGAGAGTTGAGCGGATTATCTACAGGGTGCTGATGGGTCTTTTAAGTGAAGGAGAGGACTCACTGGCACTCATCTCTCCAGATATTGGAGGAGGCCCTTGGAGTTTGCAGAATGTTTTTCCCACCCATAAGGAAAAACTTCCTTGGCTGGATGTGCCTTTGAAAATATGTCACTTTCATGGGTGCAGCCTGTGTAAAGTGAAGTCACCCCCTTTATTAGTATGATGTGGCACAAGGTTTTAAGGAGCAGTTTCTAGAAAGAGTAGGAAACTCCCAAATGGGGCAGGAGAGCACTTGTGAGATCAACACTTATGAGCCCACTGTGTCTCAAAATTACATAGGAGCTGTAATATGGGAGAACTTAATACCAGCACTTACTGATTCTTACTATGTACCAGGTACTGTTCTAACTGCATTGCATTTAATAATTCATGTAATCCCCTACTATCATTTTATGGATTAAAAAACTAAAGCCGAGAGAGGTTAAATAATTTTCCAGAGTCACACAATTATAAGTAAGGGAAGTAGAATTTGAACTCAAAATGTCTGAACACAGTATCCATAAGCTTAGCCTTGTGCCATGCTCTTTCATGCGATTTCAGACATATGGTATATAATTCATAGATGATTAGTACCCAGAATACACAAAGATCTAAAAACACATAAGTAAAAGACAACCTCCAAAAAGTGAGTAGAGAACATAAACAGGCCTTTTACAGGAGAGAAAACACAAAATGGTCAATTGGCATAAGACACTCAAGCTCTTTAGCAATCCAGAGAATACAAAGGAAAATGACAAGGTATCTTCTTAAACCTACAGATTTGGCAAAAATTAAAGAGCAGGCAATAAATAAGTATTGGTGAGGCTATAGATTAATACCAGTAAGGGGGAAAGTTTGGAATTATAGCAAAACCCCTGCTCCTATGCATATACAGAGAACAATACTTTGCCTGACCTACAGGTTTATTAATATGGTACACATGTGATTAGAGTGCCAGCAAAGCATATGTTCTGTACACACACACACACACACACACACACACACACATTCAGCTTTGATGAATTTATTTGGAACTTCACAAATAATAAACCTAGAAAAATGCAACATCACCTTTGGAGTTTCTTAAAAAAATATTGAAAATGTTGAACCCATTCAGACAAATACAAAATACTGTGGCATTTTCTATAAGACACTTGGCCTGGATGCTTCAAAATGTTTAATGTCATGAAAGATTAAAAACAGACACCCAGGAAGTGATCCAGATCACAGGAAGAGATCAAGTATATGATCCTTGATTAAAACATAGATTAAAACAAAAATCTGGGGCACTTATAATGGGGACAATTGGGGAAATTTGAACAAACTGTATATTAGATGATATTGTATCAAATTTCTTGGGTGTAAAAATGATACTGTGGTCATCTAGGAAAATGCTCTTTTTCTTAAGAAATAAATACTGAAGAATTTAGGGGTAAAACATCATAATATCTGAAACATTAAGTAGTTCAAAGGGGAAAAAACAGCAAATATCAAAAAATGTTAGAAATTGGTGACTCTATCAGGCGTCTTCAAACTACGGCCCCGCGGGCCACATGCAGCCCGCAGAGGAGTCTGATCCGGCCGCCAGGTTTTTTGGGCAGTGAGCGCAGCCGAGGTGTTACAGTAGGAATTAGTAGTTCATATAGTCCGGCCCTCCAGCTCTCTGAGGGACCGTGATCTGGCCCCCACTTTAAAAAGTTTGAGGACCCCTGCGTCTAGATGGTTACAAAAATGATTTTACTAGTCTTTCAACTCTTCTGTGGGCTTGAAATTTTTCCAAAGAAGAAGTTAGAGAACTTTCATTTAAATCTAGAAATTTTGTCTTCAGTTTACTTGAACATACCACCACTTTGAAAAATGAAATCTGATTTGGAATTGCATATGGAGAGTCACCCTTCATATTGTTTTCAGTATTTAAATCCAGGTGGGGGCGGGGAGCAGGGGTGATATCTACAAAAACAAAACAGAAAGAGGCAGTATATGCTGGGAGCTGGGTGAGGAATTAAAATGTGTTCTAAGAACTCAGCAGGATGAGAAACCATTCCTAGTTGGGGTGATCAGGGAAGCCTTCCTGGAAGAATTGGCACTGGTTCTGAACCTGAGGCCCAAAAGAAAGCAAGCTCTCCTTTAATTCCAGTCTTGATAGCCAAGAGAAGAAATAGGCCCATCTGTGGCCAGATATTCCCATTTTTCAAAATAAGCTGGAAATCTAGATTTTAATGTCAAATCTCTTTTTTTAATGACAACATTAAAAGTTTTGCAAAAACAAGATGCAGGGCAAACAAAAATGATCAAAATATCTAATCAGTGTTCAAGTTTCCCAATTGTCTCAATTTTTGTGTTTGAATAAAAATCCAAACAAGGTGGCCATATGACATTAATTGAGATGTTTTTTAAGTGTCTTTTAATCTATAGCTAAACCCTGCTTTCTCTCTAACATCTCTGATAGATCACTGTGAAGTTCAGCACTCACTCATTCATTCAGTAGGTAAGTCATTCAATGTAATTTTTACTGACCACCCACTTTGTGACCAGCAGACTGGGGAGAAAGAGACAGGGAAGAAGCCCTGTCCTCCATTGATTCTAAGTAAATGATTAGACATCAGGGCCCCTTTAGGCAGATGTTTCCTTGGAGTTAGAGCAACTCTCTAAGGAGCTCCCTTGAGATTGTCTGTACATTTCTCGGAAAAACATTGGAACTGAAGGCTGCCAATTTGGGGAGAGTGAATCTATACCAAAGCCAACTGAGACTCAGAGCTGGGAAAGAACCCAGGCGGCTCCTCCCCTCTCCTTCCTTATTAGGACAAAAAAGAACTGTAATCTTAATTTTTTTTTTTCTTACTTGGCTTCCCCTCCCCCCTCCCGCCCCTCCTTAAACCTGACACCAGCAAGAAAAATATCCAGAAATCACAATCATAATAGCTCTAGGAACTTTAAGGGTTTTTGTTTTTTTTATTAGATGTTTTAAAAAATGAAATTCACATGTAATAAACACTTCATGGACTTACCAAGACTAACAAATTTGCATTTAAACTGCCACCACCACAGCACTGTTCTAGAATTTTTTTTTTAAATAAATTTATCTTTTTTGTTGTTGAAAGTTATAGATGTCCTCCATTTTCCCTCATTGCTCCTCTCCACCCAGTTCCCACCCCACCCCAGGACTTCACACACTATTGTCTGTGTCCATGGGCTATGCATAAATGCATATAGATTCTTTGGTTAATCTCTTCCTGCCCCCCCACCATTCCTTTCATCCCTTCCCCCCTCTTTCCTTCCCTTCCCTTTGAGATTTGATTGTCAATGCCATGCTTTTATGCCTCTGAACCTATTTTATTCATCAATTTATTTTGTTCATTAGATTCTACATATAAGTGAGATCATGTGATACTTGTCTTTCTCTCACTGGCTTAGTTCACTTAGATTACACTAGTTCTTCCATGCTGTCTCAAAGGGTACTATGAGTTTTAAGCGTTACAGCCATGAACTGAATCTTCCTCTCCATCTTGAACTATTTGTCAGCAAGCACACAGTGGACACAGGGCTCTGGTTTTTCATTCCTTCTCTCATTTCTGACTTTTGCCTTGCTTCTATTGCAACATAGCTGTGTAACAGGGGGAAGAGCGATGTTTTATTTTGGACTCATCTCTTGCCAAAGCTACTCACATTCTCCTTTCTTTTCCTGAATCTGCACTTTTCTTCTTTTCTAAGTTACCTGAGGCTCATTTCTCGATTGGTTGATGGTAGCTTTCCCAAATCCCCGACTGCAGCATCATACACTGCACCCCACACTCCATCCTCACCCCTCACCATCTTCTATGATCCTTCAGTACTCCTTGCTTCCCTTCACCCTCCCATTTGCAAGGAGGACCAGAGTGACCTTGCTTTCTGTATCCTATCCTTTCAGGGAGCCCCTGTTCTTTTGTGGGGTGTTTGGGGGATGATTCTCATGGTCTGAGCTCACCACCGTGTGTGCAGTGAGCTTCTGAAGAGCGGAAGAAGAGGCTGTCACTCCCAGTTTGGAGGGTATTTCCGCCCAAATTGTAATTTCAGACAAACCCCAGAGGGTGTAATGGGAGCCATGGTGCTATCCTTGGAGCAGTGCGTGACTCTTGGATACTTATCGGTAGATAGTAAGAGCTGTCATTTGTCCAGCTTTAGCACTGTGCCTACTCAATGGCAGGCACAGTGCTAAAGATTTTACACAGATCACTTCACATAATCCTCACCACAACTTTATAAGGGATCATCTATTATCATCTCATGTTAAGGATGTGGAAACAAGCACATGGAGGGAAACTAATCTGTCTTAGTTTAGCAAAGCTAGGAAGTGGCACAGCCAGGATTCAAGCCCATGCATAACTAATACTCCTATCTTGTCCACAGATTTAACAGGTGCTGAGCGCTAGTCCACTCTGAATTCCTAACCCATGTCTTCCTCTTCTTAATTGATCCAATCTACACACTGAGTCTACTGAGCCTTTTCATACTTGCACTTTCTATAATTGGTAAGGTCTTCCTACAACTACATCTAACCCAAGGATCCATAAAGCT